AGGGACCAGCGGTCTAGGATTCGTAAGGTATGTCGGGCTTAAAGCGTTAAAACGCTCGGGGCGGTGAGGCCGGGTTCAAAAAGACGAGTACTTGAGCATTGAACCTCAGGCCCAAGGACCTCCATCCCCAGGCAACTCAGCCCCGGGCTTCTCAAGATTTTTCGAGGCACACCAAGCGGCACGGCTGGAGCTCTCGCTGCTGCGGTGCTTGCGGAATGCCCAGCGTTTGCACTGCATGAGCATTGCCGGGGTCGCATGGGCTCTACATTCCCCGGCGTCGGAGAGTCACGTGCAACAGAGAAAGTGGGAGACCCGAAACGCGAGCAACGCTCAGCAACTGTTCGGTAATAGTGAAAAAGATCATCTGTACAATATCATAGCTGTCGCTCATGACTTGCATTTGTCTCAGGTGCTTGCTTCCGAGCATGTTCAGGAAGCATCGTTGCTACCTTCAAAGCATGCTCCGAGCTGCAACAGACTCAGGCCACATCACTTGCACGTTGTCCGCTTCTTGGGCGGTGAGATCCTCGAAGGCCTTCCCTCGCTTCTGAGAGGAGTTGGAAGAAGTACAGAGAGCGTACGGATGTCATGATTACCACTGTTTGGCTCATGGAGTACGATTCTATCGTCGTATGAGTCCTGTTCTATACTCATGTCACTACTTTCCCTTGGAATCGTGCGGCCATGTGCCATTAAACATGGCTACCAAGCCTGAGGACAACGACCTTGCGCCCCAATTGCCCTTCTAACTCTCCCTTGCTGCCTTGGCTGAGTCTGCCAAAGACCGAACATGAACCATCCTTGTTCTACTGCTGCGAAATCTCGAGGGGTCATGTCGTCGGACCGATGAACAAGCTGCCACAAGCATAATGCACGTCGCCCCCTGACATTAGTGGAGCTAGGCTGCACGAGCATGTGCCTTGTCATGGGTGCGGCTGCAACAGCTACAACAATTCATCCTCAGTGTCGCCAAGAGAAACAATGACGACATCGATGCTGACATAACAAGTCTAGCAATTGGCATGACCAAGCCATCCACAGGACAGAACACTCGGATCTTCCTGTTGGCTGAGCAGATGCAAAAAGAGCATGGACGAATGGAGACGTGCTGAGTTTATCTTTCTAGTGGTTTGGGCCCGGCATCAACCAGCTGAACGACGACAACGCGAAAAGGATTCCAACCAGAACCGCAACAAGTGGACCAACCGCGCCTTTAACTATACCGAGCACTAAGCTTTCCCATCGAGCGCATGACAGCCGCCATGACACAGTCAAGGCTCTTGGCAAAACTACTCAAGAGCCCTACTGTATCTCCTGTTGCATGAAGGCTGAGGAACGCAGGCATCGTATCGGTTTGGTCAGCCCTAGACAGCTGCGAGGTGCCACGGGCCCCGCTTCGTCAAAGACACAGGCAATGGGCAAGCAGCTGCAACGCTGCTGTAAACACTAAGTGTACTGTGTGTTTCGTGCGCGAAGTTTGAAAATTGAGTTCTGCAAGTGTCAAGTCTGTCATTGTCATGTCTGTGCACGGCAGGCAATCACGTTGTTTGAGCTCTGCGCGGATCCTCGGCTGGCCTTGCCACATCCACTTTTGCTGCCAGCACAGCTAGAAATTGTCAACACACATAACACGGGTGGTAAAACCTTTGAGACTGGAATTGTGTTGAAGAAGCAGTGAAAACTCAGCTGATGTCAGTGCGAGTGTTCAGGCACTGGTGGGACTTTGTTCTCAAGGCACGCTTGCAGAGATCATTTCTAGTTGCCTCCAAAGTTCAGGATGCTTCTCGGTCTAGGCTGAACAGCGTGGTGGACAAGGCCCTTCTTGCCAAAGGCTGGACCGCAAACCTGGATTGGCTCAGGGCATCCGATTCAAATTCAAATCCGAGAGGAGCATCCGGTATATCCAGGTTGCGTTCAGCAAGGCATTGTGTTTTATTGGCAGAGCGTCGCAGCAGTTTCTGGTTTCTCTTGGGTTGCCTCAAGGCCTCAAGGCATGATTTTCGAGTGTGCTGCACTGCAAGGCCGCAAGGCTTCAACTACAAACGTTCACATCCTTTTGTGCTGCAAACTACAAAGCATTCAGGCGAGATGCCCAGTGAGAAGTACATCTGCCAGGGCCTCAGGACCTGGTCGAGCCATCCCTCTCAGCCTCTCAGAGAGTGAAATACATTGTCTTCGTTTTCCGCTGTCGGCTCTACTTAGGCTCCAATGAGGAGACTTGCCCATTTGGGTTGGGATTAAAGGAAGGGGCTCCACAACACTCAGCCTGCAAAATCGCAAAACATTCAGTTCTCTGGCCCAGAGCCGAGAGCAATTGTCACGAGCCTCGGGCCTGAAGAATGTCACTGGGCGGGATCGCAGATGACCTAAGATGCCGAAAGCGGACAAAGCACATGGCCGCCTTGGTGCCAGGCCCATGCCTCCCAGAAGTGGAGGTTTTGGCAGTGCCGCGGGGCCCGGATTCTGAAGTTTCTGCCTCTGCCATAGGTCGCGAAATGACACGTAGCATTCCTCGGCTGCAGAATCGTATCTTAAGTGTGATGGAGGTTGGGAGCCGCGTCCGCTGCGTTGGCTCACCTGCATGAGCACAGCGCTGACCTTAATTCATCACCCCCGCTACTGTTCATGACTTTGTATTATTTGGTGGTATCACCACATATATGAGCATGCATATACATATGTACACATGTATGTACACAATTACGCACATAGATATGTATATATATATATATATAATTATTTCTTTATGATCCAAATGACCCCCCCCCCCCCCCCCCCCCCCCCCCCCGCCCTCGACGTCGCACAAAGCAAAGGACATCCAATAGTACGAAACTGCTTCTGGGGTTGGTTCTTCGAATCAGGGATCCCACCCCCGCACAAAGCAAAAGACATCCAAGAGCACAAAACTGCTTCTAGGGTTGGTTCTTGGGGGGGTTAGCATATATATATATATACATATATATATATACACATGATATGATAAGTGTGCGGAAGCCGCGAGCATTTGGACATGCGCGGCCCTTTCGCTGCTGGATCTGGTAATAGGTAGCTTTCCGTTGCGGTGATGTTGAAGCTCATGCCTGAGGAATAATTCACTACGACGTCAAGAGTGAAAACTTGATGTTGGGCCGGGGCCTCGGGAACCTTTCCTTCAGCCCTTTGAGCATACGCGCAACAACTGCTCATGTCGCCAGGCTCCAAATCTGAATGGGGTGCAGAAATCGGGCTTCGGGGTTGTCGTCTTGGTTGACTGATCCGCCCGACTGCTGCAGCTTGCCTTGCGGATTGCGATGGAATCGGATAGCTGGTTCCGCGTGTCATGCTTGCTTGTTCGCTCTCTCCTCTCTTTGCTTTTCCTCCCACTCTTTCAACCTTTTTCATGGAGAGGTGCCGATGGCTTATGGAAGCTGGGCGACTTCGGGTCAGCCAGTCTGCCTCTCATGGCTGTGGGGAAGTGCACCGTGTTCTGACATTGACCAAGAAAGGCTGTCTTGTGGGCCGATGAGTCTATGGTGCAACCTGGGTAAGCACGATAAGCCAAAGTACGTTCATGAGTCGGGATGCCAGCAGAAGCAAACGCTAACGCGCCCTGCCTCGGCACGGCCTCAAATTGGGGGGTTCGTCCATAGACGGGGAGGGGGGGGGGGGGGGGGGCATATGAACGAATGTGACTCACTCCAAGGCTCCCCGGTGAAAAACGACTCAGCCGCTTCGCGCCTAGGTGAGCGCACCTTCGACTTCACAAGCGCACCTCGGAAGTTGGTCCTGGAGGCCAGCCAACCATTCGGGGGCAATCAAACGTTGGGGAGTTCCTAGAGTCATGCTTTTCGTCTTTCGTAAGATTTTCAGCCCACAGTCCGAAAGCTCGCTGCATAAGTAGGAATTCATGCTAAAGATGTGTTTTCCTTGCTCTCAGCCGTTTCGGAAGCTACTCCCTGTGTGCCCCTGAAGGCCCGGCAGCGGAACCCAGTTGCATTCCAACAAATTGGCTGTGCTCGCTTGATTCTTCTTGCACTAGTCGAGTAAGCTCATACGTATGCTCATGCTCAACGCAGATCGTGATTTTTGAGTTTCCGGCGGGGAAATGTGAAAAGGCAGGGCGTAAGCCCGTGGAAAGGAGGGTGACGCAGCAGATTGACACTGGATACGGACGCTCCGAAGGAGAGACGCCGCACGGAAGTCGACGATTCGCTTCTGACTTGCCATGGCCATGTCTTACAAAGTCAAATGGTTTGGGAAAGGTGTGTGCAGGGTGGGGAGGGGCGAGGAAGCCAAGCGAAGCCAAACCAAGTGTGTCAAAAGGCCGCCAATAGCAAATGCCCAGCCTGCAACAGGGCTTCGCTACAAGCCTTTCTAAGAGAACAATTCAGATGCAGTGCCTGAAGGTTCTTCGTTGAAGTGACTCGGGGGGGGGGGGGGGGGGGGGGGGTTAGTGGGGAGCCCATCGCTTTCTGGAGGCAGAGGAGTTTGTGCATGGTCGGTGCACATCAATTTACCGGGCGCCAGAGGCTGGGAACAGACCATCAAACAACTCGGTTGCATCTTCGTGCATGTGAAGATGTTCCCTGGCCAATGACTGGGAAGTAGCATGAAGTAGCGGATTGCTTGAGGCAGTTCGGCCAGCTTGTACCCACGCAGACATTCTCACAAGATAGATGCACCGCACTCGCACCAATCAAGCTGCCTTTCGTGAGAAAGGTGGCTGATGTCCATCTAAGATGGCCCATCGGCCGCCGCCTCATTGAGTTGAAGTGTTGAGCATCGAGAACATTCAGCACAGCTCAAAGCCTGGAGGCCAAAAGGCAGACGTGTTTGCGCTCGGTGGGTGGCCAAGTTTGTTGGGAGCGCTCTTGGCCCTTCGCACACTGCAGGATATTTCTTTGATTACCTGAAGCTCGCCTGTAGGGGAACTTCCGTGAGCATGCCACGTTTATGAAGTCTGAACGGGGGCCTCAGGTTGTGTGCTGTATGCTTGCCTCGCTGGCGTGCACCCATTCCCCATGGACTCCCTTCTTGCCAACATCCAGGTGGAGCGGGTGCGCTGGCACACTCGAGCTAGGATTGGGTGTGTGGAACGAACAATTCTGATGCAGGCACGCTTCCACCTACCAGCAGAATGCGAGGAGGTCGGCATCTGAGAGGACTTCGATCACGTCCTCTTCCAGAGTCATCCCATGGCAACGCATGACCGCAGGAGAGAAGTGGATTAAGGCTGGGAGGCGAGGAAAGGTGTATAGATATTGAATCGGCACCATGTTCAGAGGCTGGGATAGATGGAACAAAGATACAACACAACTGCCCTTGCTGGAGCTGCACCCGACCATAGCTCACCCGTCTAGATTTACTTCCCGGCCCACGTTGGCCATCCGCATGCCTAAGGCATATTCGGCTCACATTGCAAGGCCTGGGGGGCACATTTGCGCTTCAGTTGTTTGAGCCTAGATGAACGCAACTCTCGAACATCCCGAGTTTTCGTACAAGGGTCTAGGAACGCCCCCATCCCCCTGTTCTCTTGGCCTGACCTACGCTCCAAATTTTCCTGGGGAGCGGCAACACTTTTTGTTTGTTTGCAGATTCAGGCTTTCATCCTGCTTTAGTTCGCTCTGCGTTCGTCGATCGTAGATCTGCATTCCCAAGCCAAGACCCCCAATTGATGTGAGAAGTTTCCAATTGTGTTCTTGCCGGGGAGGGGGGGGGGGTTGTGATTTGATTTTGGAGCATGGTCGCCACCATGCAAAGCCTCAAGCTCAGGTGGCTGCGAAGCGCATTGTGCCGGTCGCCTGCTGAGCGCCCGACGGCGGCAGCATTGGCCTCCGAGGCCAGCCTACACATTCTCTGGCCGTCTGCAAGTAATCTTAGAAGCATTTTTCCGGTGCAAACGCACTGTGCCATGGGCGCTTGCAAGCACAGCTTCTTGAACAGAGCCCTCAACCGTGAAAAGGATCCTGCCCTGAACCTAAAACTGTCAAGGCTTGTGTGCGCTACGGCCCATGCCCAAGCCACGGGACGTGCACGTCGGCAGTACTCGTAAGTCGGAAAACTTGCCGGAGAGCCGCCGACCCGTCTAGCCCGAAGCCGTGAACCCGCTGCAAAATGTGCAATCGAGCTTTGGGGGGGACGTCCCTTGGCTTGCTGGAGGACCCCTGCCGCCTTGTTTGCCTGAAGTAAAGGCTCGCCCGTGTGGGGGCGGGCTGGGCAGAAAGGGCAGCAGTCGAGCCCCTTGTGAAAAAAAGGCTCGCAGTGTCAGCAGGTTGTGCAACACTTTTTGTGACTTTGTGTTTATTGGTATGGCATGCCCCAGAAAAAGTGAGATCGGGAAGCGTCCACATTCGGGACTCGCTTTATGCTTGTTGTTCTCGATTTCGAAGACACGAGCGTTTTTTGGGTGGTTTTAGGGACTTGCTACTCAGGCAGTCCTACTAGCAAAAACTGTTGAGAACGTCTACACTACAACATCAGCGTCCGTCAGGCACTGTGAAGTTTCAGCTCTTACGCATGTGGACTGACGTGTTTCGTCCACCGTGGGATATCTTGGGATCAGCATATGTTGATGCGCATTCTTGCCGCTGATGTTGTGTGACGTGCTTTTGGGCTGTGAGAGGTCGCTGAGTTCGTCGCCACTGGGCATGTGAAGTCTCGTGAGCCAGTCCGAGAGGCCATGCACGACAGCTCCGTGAACATAACTCTTGTCTGTAGATATCTGTAGCCACGTTGCTTGAAACTGCGACAGGTGTCGGCCACGCTAGCTAACAGAGCAGGCTGTGCACTTCATTGCTGTAACTAGAGCGTTTGGCACAAGACCCTGCATGATCTTGCATGTGGTTTGGAAGCACCAAAAACAGCCCACATTGATACAGTTCACCTGCGAGAAGCCAACAAAAGGAGGCACCTCGCCTTCCCGAGCTCGAGTGGGTCTGGGCACTTGGTGGCGCAGATTTGGTCAGTTTGCACGGTCTCTGTTTGTGGTTCACGGCGTACCTTTCCAAGATATGAGGGGTCCATACTCCATACAGTCTGGTGACAGTCTAAAGGGGCACAAGTAATGAGAGAACTGGCAGTCTACGTTTCATCTGGCAGGGGTTCGTCCCTGTCAGGCTGTTAGATCGGGCGTTTCGGCTATAATGTGGTCGGTCTCCTGATTAGTGTGGACCCCTCCAATAATGAAAAGTTTTCAAGAAAATATTCAGGGGACAAAAATGCGGTTGCCCCCCTCCAATAATGAAAAGTTTTTCGGGCATTAATTACTGAGCTTACCTGAGCTTTCCTGAGCTTACCTGAGCTGAGCTCATCTGAGCTTACCTGAGCTAAGAGGAAGAGGAGAGGAAGAGGAGAGGGAAGAGGAGCGAAGAGGAAATGAAGAGGAGCCGGTGGGGGGGGCCCGGGGCCGAAAATTAGTTTTGGGGGGGCCCCTTTTTTTTGGACATTATTGCGGGGGTGGATTTAGTTTGGGGGGGGGGGGGGGGGGCCCACGCTAATCAGGAGACCACATTACCTGAAAATTGACAATCCGCGTGTGATGTTTGTCCATGTTATCGGTTCAACAGAGTCGGAAGCAGATGCTGGGCAGGACCGCCGTGGGAATGGAAGCTCCCATAGTCCATGGGGGGGGTGTTCGGGGATGTTAAGTTGCAGGAGCGTTGCGGGTTCGTTCGATCGGGGGACCCTGACTTGGAGAACATGTTGCTTGTGCAAAGGACGTGCAGAAAGGGAGTCGCATACTGTTGTACCCTTGTGGATCCAGGAGGCGAAGTGGTCTGACTTATACATGAACCCTTATAAATGATTTGTTTGATTGGCGAGTGATTCTAATCTTGGGTGCACTTGTTGTCGACCTTGCTGTGTTTACATCATTTCAAGGACTCGGCCATCTTTGCATGTGCGCACAGAGATGGGATTCTCCCCGATTGTTTGGCCGGGAGCTCCCCGGCACCGGGCAAGTGAGCAGACCTGACAAACCGTCGAAGTCCTCCTGAGGTTGCGGACTTCTCGCACATGCCGCCTGCTGCTGGTCAGGATATGGAAGTGGAGGCCGTTTGTTGCAGAACGCGAGCATATGAGGTCTGTGAAGGTCATGTGTAAGCTCTGGCACAGTTTCACCTGAAGGCGGCTGGCTAAGTGTGTGAATCGAATCGAAGCCAGTGACCGCGCCAAGTGCAAGGCTGTTACCGACAAGGTGGTCGCCGAAACCACGCAGCTTGACAGCACCTTTGGAGTTCCTGTTAGCGCGGTGGTCTCTAGACCGTCTTGTGCGGGGCTGAGAATTCTGAACCCGCCCCTGCCGTGGCTCCAGCCTATGCCCCCACATCCGCTCAGTCCCTTGATGTTGAGATGGCTTTGTACAGCAACGCAAGCAACCGCAGACTGTTGTTGCACATGCGTTTTTACCGGAAGACAATTTGTCAGACCTGATGTTTTCTCACAGCGGAAGAAGCTGCGCAACGCAGCATTGTCGCACTGCAGGGCTTCGGTGTCCGTCGACATCTCTCCGGACACTGAGCAAGGCAGATGAGAGGAGAGGAGAGGCTGTTTGCACGGATTCCACTGCGCCCATACGGTGTCCGTTTGTGTGTGTGTGTGCTGCGTGTTATCTTCGGAGCGTGGAAATGTGACAGTCCTGGGCAACCACTCTAGACTCTTTAGAGCAGGCGCTCCGGTGGCGCAGACTATTCTGCATCGCTGTGCTGCTCCAACTGTACGAAAGATTTCCAATGCTTTCATAGGCCCGAAGTAGAACAACCAGACCTATGGAACAATCTTGGTTCTCATGTTTTAGGACTCTGGGCCGGCTTCGAGAGTGCAGTGCAGGAGTTAGCATATTCTAGCCATTGGTTTCGGAAATCTTGATGTGCGAAGAAGTCCGAGATGACATCACTGAACCACTTCTCCCGAGTATCCCGTTTGTCTGTGGTGCTGGAGCACAGCACTGTCTCCCATACTGCATACCTTCCCTCAAGTCACACTGGCCTCGAGCCATCAACAGCGACTCTACTTCACAACTCCCGACCGCAGAACAGCCACCATCACAGCTGCCTTGGAAATCGCATTTCCACGTCTGCTCCGCGCCTCGCAATGTGCCGGCATGGCGTTCTTCAACCACCCTACGGGCGCCCACGTGCCGCAGACTGGGGAGTTGGACTGCGAGGGGCCCATTGCCAGGCAGGCCTGTCGTGCAGCAGTCTGAACTCCCCCGAAATGTGTCCCAGCTTCTTGCAACAACCATGTCCCAAAAGGTCTCAGACGAGGCGCCCGCGGCTCAAAGACAAAGCGGCCCCGCATCTTGACCCACCTGGATGTTTCGGGAATACGGCGGGTGATAGAAATTTATGGGCCCTGATTTTGAGGAGGCCCATACTGTAGGTCATTTATATACGTCAAAGGCATAAATGGCATGAGGCCAGCTAAGGCCGCTGCCTGCGATTTAGATGGTGGAGAAGGCTTCCAGTTGGGCTTAACATAATCATTTCAGGAATTAAGTCTTCAGACCACCCTATAAAAATCCAGAACCCCGTCCAGACTTTCTGTGGAACTAGAGTGGGTCGAGTTTAGTTGCAGAGCCCTTTTAATTGTTATCGGGGCGAATCCAGATGGCTCCTGAGCCTGGCATTTGCCATTTGGCTTGTTTCCGTTTCGCGTCAGAGGAAAGTAAAGTACAGGTCTTCCCGTGAAACGGAGACCCATGAGTCGTTGGTCCGAGCACTGACATGTGTTGTGTCGTAGCACCCTGCAAAGACCTGAAGTCATAAATCCCGATACCATATAGACCGATACCAGAACTAAACCACACCTTCGACGACATGCTCCAGGCTTCCGCCGGCGCTCGGCGGCGCGGGGAGCTGCATCCACCTGAACGCTGCTTTATGTCACAGCCCCAGGCTAGGCCCTGCTAGGCATGTGCGTGAGGCTTCAGATGCACTGTAGACTGGTGTTACGACGGGTAGAAACTTCATATCCTGCCACGAATTTTCGTGTTACGCGCCCTTCGCACTAAGCTGCCTACTTCGACTACTAGGTACCAGTATTACCCTACTCTAGGCCTGCTGCTGCTGCTGCTACTGCTGCTGCTGGCCAACCAAGGCCAGCATGACGACTTCAGCCTCTTTGAAGCTGTTGAGAAAGACATCGAGGCGGCTTGGACGGTTGCCGAACGATGTCACATGTCTTTAGCCCTTCTCAAACTTGATCCTTTCGAACCCCAACGAGACTGGAGGGTTGTCCCTGCGCACGTGGCAAGTTCTGCACACCACACCACGCACGATTTCGTGTCCAGGCCGCCAGCTACCAGCGCCCAGGGGATGCGCTAGGCTTCCACAGGACAGGAACCGTTTCGGGATGAGTGCCTGAAGACCGGGAAGCCAACTCAGAGCCATCAACGCACAAAAACGTAGTCGTTATACCCTTGATTGTGCCTAGCATCCAGCCCCAAACGACATATTCAGCCAGTAAGTGCTCATTTTCACGCCGTCCTCGCTTTGCAGGAGCCGAAAGCATCTTCAGATTTGGGGTGATGCCTTGCTGCTTGTTTGCACCTGACATGGGGTTCTTGAATACAGTCTGGGTCTGGTAATAGGTGGAGTGCATCTTTTTGATCCTAATGAGTGGCGCGGCTGAGAAGGAGTAGAACTAGTGTTTCAGCAGCTGTAAATTCCCAGCACTGGCATGGCATGGTCTCCTGGTGATTGTTGGTCAGTTTCACTATCGTAGCAGCAACCACATGCCACATGTTTGTTGTTGTTCCTTGGTGCGAGTCAGCCGCTGTGTCGGTCCATCGCTCGCTCGAGGCCCTTGTACCAGACCAGTGGTGTGCAGCATTTGCTTAGCGATTCTGTGTAAGCTGCTGATGTGCAGTGTCCCTCACAAAGCGCGCCACAATCCATAGCACAGATATAGAGTCCCAAAGAAATCGCTGTAATTCTCAGCGTTCCAAAGAGCAGAAATTCTAGTTTTGGATTTGTCCAAGTAGATCGGGTCATGAAAGCACTCTAATTTCTCCAAATCGTCCTATGCCTAAGCAGTGGGGTCTTCCTGCATTCAACTTAAAGAACCTGCCGTCTTGTCAACAAGTCCATCGACGCCTTGCGTGGAGGAAGCTTGCAAGACAAAAAGCCGTTCGATGTCTTGCACTGAGGTCTGGATCACAAGCCTTTGCTTCCGTGAGCCTTTGTTTGCACGAAGCGTTTGCATCAGCTGCCCTTGCTATCCCAGCTCCACCAACAGTTGCCAACAAAGTACAAGGATCACACGTGCTCTAGCGATGTTCGACCTCACACTGGTGGACTGCTGGGCAAATCTCTACCGATCCGCTACTCGGCCGGGTGCTGACATGTGGAAGTGATACCGGCATCATTCACAGGCTCGTAGTCTCACCTGGACCCTACAGTCACTACAGAGACATGGACACTTTGCACATACGCGCAAGCCCACTCTTCAGAAATCTTGGCACGAGGAAGATGACTTCAAGTCCTGGCATCACGACAACTATCAGGACTGGACCCCGAGGCCATTCAGGTTTGCGAACTGATAGGCTTCTCGGGGATGAATGTCAGGCTGCCCTGAGCATGCAAGATCCCTCCATGCCTCGAAGTAGACCATTGCCCTGAAGTGCTGCCCCCGACAAAGCGAAGCCAGCTTTGTCATCATGCAGCTTCAGCGGGCACCTGAAACTTGAGAACCGAGAAATTTACCAACCACAGACATGGCGTGCCCTTGGTAGAGTTTACTAAGTTTACTAGACTTTGACGCCAGGCCGACAGCCACTATCGGTCTGAGTCTGGGCCAGGTGCACCGATTGAAGCCAGGCTAAAGGTCGGCATGCAATAAGCGATCCCTTTCCGTCAGAGGACTGCAAAACCTCTTGAGTCATTGGTCTGACTCTCGAATCTTGGAGCCCTTTGCCATCGAACACCACATTCTGTCAACAGCTCTTCAATTCCCTGACCCAGACTATGGCGTTGTTGTGCAAGGTCGGAAAAATGGGCAAGTGCCAGGAGTAGAATCTCCAAGTGGACCATGAAAGCCCTCAGGCACGCGCCCTGGCATTCCAGGATGCGCGTACGAAAGGAGCCACGGACGCAAAGATTTGTTGTTGATATCAGGGTCCTCACAGTCTCCGAGGGCTTTTGGACCTCGCAAAGACCAGGTGTTGTGAGTAGCAGCTAGGGCTTGCAATGCTTGTGTCGCACGACATGGTGTGCGGTTGGATTGGTTTCAGTGCTGTTGTCTTACGTAGCCTCTGAGTTCAGACTTCGGGGTTGGTTCAGGGTTGAACGCATGTGCGCAGGAGAGCATCATGTCCTTCAGCAAAACGGCGACATATTCGCTTTCGATGAGCCTCTTCGATCAAGCTCCGGGCTGTGCTCAGAAGTTTCTGCGGCTTTACAGCGGTCTTCGCCCCCATTAGACTCGGTGGGGAGGGCATGGCTTCAACATTCTTGGCTTTAGCATCCACCGGCCACCCATGAGCCTTAAACCCCACACTTCCGAGGGTTTTCGTGCTGAAGCCAGGACCGGAGGGGACCAAATTCACCAAAATTTCTGCCTGGTCAAACAGTCAACAGCCTCAATCTCAAGCCCCATAACAAAACTTCCAAGGCCTTTCAACAACTTCTTCAAGCACTCGGTGCCTGCGGCAAAGTCACCCGCTGGTGCCGTGTGTGGCAAGCGCATCTCCATCATCCTCTTCGTGAACGAGTCGCTCTGGGCTGGTTAAGTTAGCTTGGGGAGGAATCTCTGGCTGGGTTTCCAGAAGCTGTCGGCAAAAAGGGATTCCCCAGAAACCGGAAAGGACCCTCGGATGTCCACTCCCCATCATAAGCTCGTAGGAGTTGGTTGCATAACATGTTCTTTTCGGTTCTCTTACGCCTGTCATCAGAGAAACATCTTCAAAGTAGGAACAGAGGGTTCACTCTGGCCTGACGAGTCAGCGTGAGCTGCTTCTCGTTTTTGAACGAGGCAAGAGCACGTGCCACGAACTCTTCGAGTGAGGCTTGTCTTCCTTAGCTCAAGTCCCAACCTTTGCTCTAGGAACCTTGCAGTCCTGTATGGTCAAGCACTGCATCCAAGTAGATTTGCTCCCACCTTTCTTCAACATTGTTAGCTTGATCTGCGCGAAAACACGGCACCCATTCGGACACATGCCTTTCTGATCCGTTTGAGACCCCAATTCTAAGCTTTTTTGCGCTCGGATTTTAATCATGTGACAGTCACAGCCCAGAATCTTCCATCCAGATCCCAGGAAGATGCCAGGCATGCGCGACAGCATTCCGCTCAGTGTGTGCTGGGACGCCTGGGATACTTGTGGCTGCGGCAGCCTCTGTCGAAGGCACACTGTTAGCATGCTGCACCTGTCATATCTTGTGGCTTCGAGCTTTTGGCCGTGATCCCATGTAACTTGCTCCGTGTCAAGGCATGCTCGCTTGGCCCTTTACTTCATGCGATTTCTGCCAGGGCCCGAAGGCTGAGCGAGGAGATCGAGATTGATGTGCCTCAGCATGCAGGGAAGAACCAGTGCCGAAGCATGTGTGTTTTTGCAACAAGCTGTACTAAGCGTTGGGTTTGCGAGGTCTCTGTTCTTAGTTGTTAGTATGCTGCTGCTTCGCAAGAAAAACAAGTGGCATCCGCACTTGCCTTCACCGAGCAAGAGGCAAACGTCCACAGTTCAAACCAAGAAACACGCCAGGAGAACACCCCCACTCCCAATATTGTTCTCGTTCTCTTGGACGAACACGAGGAGCCGAGCTTGAAACAGCTCCTGCCATTGTTTGACCAGCTGGCCAAGGCCGAGCGCTGAACTCATACTAAGTCTAGCTCTAACGAAACGCGCCTATTGAAGTGCTCTTTGGGACGCACAGTGCGGGAGTCAGTATTGAAGAGTTCGGTAGAATTCGGTCACAACCACGTGCAGTCACACACAGGCAAACATTGCGCCTGCCTCCAGGCCCAGACATTCTACCATGTCAAGAAGCCTGTCTGCCAGTCGGCCAACATGGCTGATGATATCCGGAGCGGGACCTTCATAATCTTACTCTTGTGCAGAGAATACAATGAATACACGATGTTGAGAGTGGCACAAACGGGAGGTATAAAGTGAGAGGAGTGCAGTTTGCATGTTTCGCGCCGACCCTTGGGACTTCTTGAGGTTCTTAAATCGAGCAAGATCCACTCTGTTTCAAATTGTTCTTGTGCCAGCTCGCTGCAGGATGACGCGGGGCCCTCCACTCGGCGACACTGGCCCTGGTGAGCCGGATCATCGGACTGATGGCGAAGGGCTGAAGCCTTGCCAGCCAGCGAGATCGTTCTACACCATGCCGCGAAGCTACTGGGCAGATACTCCTATCTAGCATGGGCTCATCTCTTGAACATGGCTGACGAGTTCTGTGCTTGCAGGTTACAAAGAGTCATCTGTCCGATGCCAAAGACATCCAAGGAAGTGAAGGGCACAGCACGGGCAAAGCTGCCGACCCTGGCATGTTCACCACCTTCATACCATCAACCCACGAGCCCGCGAACACCCATCACTTCACTGCTTACCGCGCACCAGCAGTTCCAATGGCTCCAACATCCCCCACCCCGGCCCCTACCACCGCCGCCCGCCTCAGTATCTTTGTTGCAAGCTGGCCTATGAGCAGATGTGAAGGGTCAGTTACACTGGCACATGGGCTCTTGAAGCTTTGAAACAGATTGTCAGAGCAGGTTCTGGTGACATGAGCTCTGTCAGCCTCTGAGACTGAAGGTGAAGCAACATCACCTTCGAACTTTCCGGCGCCACGTGCGCGGGAGGTCCGCAGGGAAAAATGCTCACTTGCCATGTGTGGTCTAGGCAGGCATGCAGGCAGGTCATTATCTCAGATCTGAGAGCCAGGAAGTAGACTGATTGGGCGGGCCTTAGCATGCGAAAACCCAGCGCGACCATCTTGCAGGGCCAGGGCTTCGACCTTATGAACAAGGTAGACAGGTTGTGAGGAGAAAGTTGACGAATTCTGGGAGCTACAGTAGGGCCTATGGACAGCTCAGGGATCCCCGCAGAACCACGGCAAGTTTTGAGACTGAGGGATTGACGCAGCAGTCCACTGAACGTCGCATTAGATTGCATGCTGGTTCACCAGATCATCTCTACAGTATCACGACTCGCTTGCTTTGACAACTGCAATATGCGCAATGACCCTTCTGGCCGCCCCGTTTGCAGAGCTGGTTGCTAGGATCCAGAGCTCCTGGCAGCCCGGCAGGCCCTGACGCTACAGGCAGACAGCCCTTAAAAAGTGCAATAGGGAGCTGACGTAGCAGAAGCTGCTCTCATTTGTGCTCACAGTACCTCGCGAACTCACGTTACTCGGTGAAGTGCTGCAATCATTCCGAAACATTTTCTGCAAGCCAGCGTGCAAGCCCAGGTAATCCTGCACACTTGCTGCGCAACGCTTTGAAGTATCGACAAAAGTCTTCCTGTAGCTCCAAATCAGTGCCTGAATGGCCAGGGCGCGCAGCAGGTCTTGGCCATCCTGCGAGGTCGCAAGCTGTCGCCTGGCAGCTGAACGTAAGAGGCCATTAAATCAAAATGAACCTCAACACTTCATGAAGCTTACTCCCAGCTGTTAGCGCACAGCGGACCATACACAGAAAGCCTTCTCGCTTCCCATACTTCCCGTAGTTGCTCGTAGCAGTACATATCACTTGGTGCCTCCGCTTCCGCGACTGCATCTAAGGATTGAGAATCGGGCGTGGAGGACACGCAAGAACGCATGTGAAAGCCAAGCGTGCACAGATGTCGGCTCACAGCTCTCTCGGCCCCTGAGAGCTTCGTAATACTCGGTGGTATTTAGCGGATGTGATTCCGATACCGGTGCCTTGACCAGGATACCACAAGGCTGGTACGCCATCCATGCCGGCGCACAGCACATCAACGAGGAAGCCGTGCAAATGATTAGTGTTTGATACACGTATATATGTATACATATGTATACATATATACAGCTGTTTTGAAAGGGCCGTTTGTGAATGAACATGTTGACTCATCACACTGGACAGGACCGCGCTGCGCGGATCCGCGCTGTTTGGCCGGATGCGCCACCAGAGGAGTGCCATGGAGACCCCCGTTCATTTAAGATCGGAGTGAGATGTGGAAGAGAGTCCTGTGCCACTAGTTAAGGTACCAGGCCTTTGCCTGGGACCATGTCCATACATGTGATTTTTGTGTGTCCAGGTTTCCAAAGTTCTCATGGAACCTGCGTACTCGGAGTAGGAACCAGGGATTTGCCAGAGCTCGGCTGCTACTTTGCCACTAAAACTTCTAATTTTTGGGCTTCGTCTCATCCTGTGGGAGAATACGGTGTATCCACCGAGTCATCACTGCCCAGTTCTAACCACTGACGCAGAGGAGTCGCTGCCACACGGCGCAATTCTGGGTGCCTACCCGAGAATCAGATTCTCTTTGGCTCGACCCCATGCGTAGAAACTCTCTGGCTCGACCCCATGCGTTGACGATAGCCATCGGAAGCCGTGAGTGGTTTCCTTCGGTTGTCCTTCATGACGCTGCGGTGTTTCGATAAGGGTGTATATTAATCATTGCTGTTGGCTTTCAACCTGCTTTAAGATTACAATGGTCATCTTGGTGGCGACTAAGTGGGAGCATGTGCATACAGTTTTCTTTGCAGTGTAGTCATGGACAGTGTAGTCATGGATCCTCGAGTCCTGGTCTGGTGAAGCGCTGGAGGCTTGTTCTACGTGCACAGCCATACCACGCCTCAGGCACCCGGGTTTTGAGGTGGGGTTGATCAATCTTGCCATTGCTCCAGGCTTGCTTTTGCACCCCAAGGCAATGCGAGCATTGAGTTGAGAGCACGGTAACCCCACTGCCCTCGACAACCTTTGGCAGGGCTGCTTGCCTGGCTACGTGTGGGCACGAGGGCCGTTTTCCGGCAGCATCCATTGCTTTTCTGTGGGATGCTTTCTTATGGGCCTAGGGAAAAAGAAGATTTAGAGGAACCGAGCAGAAGGAATAGATCGTCTGGGTCTCATGTGGCGACTGTTCGCTACTAGCAGCCATGAACATTGTGGCAGGGAAAGAGCTGGTCTAAGTCCACGTCTTGCGACATCGCGCTACAACCAACCCTCGTGCCGAGGATTTGCCATGTGATTTCCAAGTCAGTCGAGCTGCTGCGGCCAGTGCACTGCCGCGGGGGCAAAGGCCTTTGGGATCTCGAGGCGGGGAGGCAAAACGACGATTCGGTGCACTCGGGCCACTTCCGGTCAAACCCCATGATGTTCAATCAAGGTTCTTGGGTTAGTTTAAGCAAGGCTGGCACTTGGGCATTGCAGGGACATTGTGCCCAAAGCTGGAAGTTAGCATAAGTTAACCATGGCAAGTAGGGCAACCAAAAGTGGCAGAAGGCTGTAGGTGATGCGCGAGGTGTGGCAGGTCCAGCAGATCCAGCAGCAGTTCACAGAGATCAACATCCGTGTGCACGATCTCACTGAGGTCGTGAATGCGTCAGATGGGGACGGTTGGGTTTTGCAGCATTCGTGGCGATTCTAAGTAGGCCCAGTTCAAACAGGGATCCGGGATCTCAGTTCTCGCAGTTGTCGTCGCTTTTGGTGCTTTCTGTTGTGTGCGCGTGAGCCTCTGTATGTGTGTCTCGATTCATTTGAACCGGTTCGTGGGTTAGGACCTTTCTATGCACTGTACTCATGTGGCTTGTGAATGTCTGTGACGAACTATGTGTCGCGCTTCCGCACTGCAGGCTTTTTGTGCGAGGGCCCGGGAGTGCGACATACTGGGTGTATCAGCAGCTATTAACATCTTGTTCTGTATTTGGACAACGCCAGACAACGTTCCTGCAACACAGGTGCTGCCACGCGGATCTTGCGTCAGTCAGGCCTCGGCTTAGTTAGAGCCTCGCGGTTGTATGTACATAGCTTTCACTTCGCTACCCTAGCTGCGATCACTGCAGAAAAAAGAGCGAGAGGCGAGGTACCTGGCCTTGGGCCAGAATGAGGCTGTTACGGTGCCATGAGCATTGGGGAGTTTCAGCAGAGCTGCAAAGACAAAGTGGCCTACAGATATTCTCCAGAGAGAGGCCAAATTAAGCGCTTCTTCAACAACAGTGAACAACAGCCAACACACAGCCTGACTGTTTGCTGCAGCCCACTCGAAATTCTCCCTAAACTCTTTCGGCTTGTGCTGCTGTTTGCCACTACGAAGTGGAACGAGAAGAGATGCAATAAGATGATGTAAGCACAGGCTAGATGCAAGCATTTGCACTCAACTGGCTTCAGGCGCATCTGCAACCGAGCCGACGTCTGCTGATGCGCTCGGCCCTTGGTGATTTTCGGCTTGTGATGGTATTGACTGGCCAAGTATCGAAGTATACGCGCGTGTGGGGCCCAATTTGACACAGCTACGCCGTGTGCGTTTAGATCCGGGGATGTCTTGAGCAGAGCTGTTTGAGCCTCCGATCTACAAGGGTTCAGGCGGAACGCAACTTTTGTTCGTCACGGTGCATCTCATCAGTATTTCATGGGGACATGCTCGTTCGTGGGCCGAGGTTTGAAGGAGATGTTCCCGTCGACGTGTGCAACTTGGGGGGAGGGGGGGGGGGGGGGCGGCATACCAGCCAGCGGTTTTACATTTGAAGTCCGTTGGCAGCTCACGCCACAAACTTCTACTCTGGAGCCTGCTCGAAGGGATCAGGAAAGTGCTTGCTCCCATGTGCTCCATTGAGTGTTTCTAAGCTCGCACACAAGGAGGGAGCACACCCGGTGCCCAATGAGCAGGACACTCAGTCAACTTCGCATGTCAAGGCAGGCTTGGCTTCCACAGGCTCGCATGCCGCAAGACTTTTCCTTGGGCGTGATGTTGCAGCATTTTGCAGCTCCGCTCTCCAAAGGTCTCCCACTGGATTGGTGCGGCCAGCCCTCCCGAGCGAGTCGAAGTGGAAATCAGAGGCGCTTTGCCGCAGGGATAGAAGGGCTTTTGGCGCATGTTCTCGTTCTGTTGCCGATTGGTCGACTGTGGCAGACAATGCTGCATTGAAGTATGTCGGGGACACAGATGATTTGCAGTAAAAATTATAGGGCTCACCAGCTCTCAGGTTCGGTAGAAAGTGTAGAGTCTCAGAAGTTCGGTGATTCAGCATGATTCAGCCCTGTCTCCATGGTGGGCTCTTAGTGTGCATTGTAAGGCCGAGCATGATGCATGATGCATGCTAATCTTCGGCCATGTATTATATATGTGCGTAGAGGTCACGCAGTTCCCTGTGATGGGATCACTTCCGCGAAACGGTTTGAGTCTGTCCTACTTCTTGGATGGCAATGATGGCACAGGTGAAGGTGAGCGCTACGGCTCCTAGACCTGCTCGCAGCAGCCTGAGACAGACTCGCTGTGCAATCGGAATGCGATCAACCGCCATCAACTGCCCAGCTCTATACAACTTGAGGCCTGGACATGACTCGGAAAGCACTTCATGACTCCTGTGGGAGATGGAGCAATAGCGATCATCATGGAAACGTGTTACACATCTACCGGCAAGGTATGGCAGCAGTACCTCGTAAGAGCTCTGCAGAAGGTGGGTGACATCTCGTGACAATCTTGACTGCCGTGACACCAAGGTGCCCGACGCTCTTTCCCATGCTTTTGCGCCAGTGTGCGAACGCGGGACTGATGCCGGACAAAACGTTACGTCGTCCGGTTTCTGCGCACGCGGGAGGTAAATACGTGAGCTGAACAGGTAGACGTCTGGTCATAGCCGGGGCAAAGCTTGAGATTCCCTTGATCTTACGCTGGTCCATAATGTCTGTGGTTGTGCTTTGTGCTGCAGCGTTTCACACCAGCCTGCTGCAATCTGCCCGACAGAATCCTGAGCATTTTCAATGTTACCAGCTCAATACCGAGCCTGGACGCAAGAAACCAGTGCAAGTGCTAGCTGCTGTGAGCCTGCATGCTACAAGGTAATGCATGCTTACTCCCGACCGAAACAATCATGAGCAAGATCCCTCAAGCACATCAACTCTTCAATTTCCTCTTCGATTCATGGCCTACGGCAAGTCCTCGAGCACGGACCCGCGGGTTTTCAACGACTTGGGTGCTGAGTGGGAGAGGCTCAACCAGACGGCAGCCGCTCGACAAACGATTGTTTTAAAGATCGTTTTGAAGGGCCCAGAAGCACAGCTGGCGTGTCCCAAAGACTCGCAGATGCAGGCAACTGCAAAACCTCCATAAGGGGCGTCAGGATGCACAGGTTGATGAGGCTTTTCACAGCAGAAGGTCCTTCTGGCAACCTCTGGCAACAAGAAAGAAGAGCTTCGCAGGTGATTCCCGTCATCTCTCGATCCACTTTGGATTGCGAGCGCCCTGCTGAGCGACGTGAGCGGCTCAATGCGACGGCAGCAAAGAAGGAGGACTTCGGGTGGTGCGTGCTTCAGGTTGGATGATTTTTCGATTCGGAAAGGCCTGTGGACTAGGCACGGCGGCATGAGGTCGTGTCTCGAAGCGATCCGCGTTTCCTCCTCAAACTCCTACGTGAAGTCGCAATTTGAACACCCAAAAGCTTGACTTGAAATATTACTCCTAAACACCTCGAGTCCTGCATGTGCAAAACCCCTGGCGGCTTAACGTTGTAAGGAGGGGTGCCCAGCAAGCCGCGATTGTCTCTCTGTAACAGTGCAGCCGAGGCAGCCCGACTGATTTCAGTGATGTTCAGTGTGGTGGATCCCAGGAGCTGCGCCAACAGCGTGCCGCGCAAAAGGTGCAGGATGTCTTGGCTGACCGCTTCCACCAAAGGTGCGACTCAGAACTCAGACCTCACAGCCCCTCGGGAAGGTAGGGTGTCAATCAGAAGGTCTCCCGGCCTCATGGAAACAGGTGTATAGTCTAGACTAGCATTAACACATAATTAGTAGCTTGGCACGTTCACGCAGCTGCAAGCTGCAAGCTTATGAAGCATAATTCAAGCAGAGCCAAGCAGGTATACATATTAGCTGAAAGCTATGAAAAAGTATGAAAACTAAGAGACGGACGCAAAAGCTCCCGTATGAGGCTGGAGCCACTGCCCCGCTCTCAACCGCAAGACTACAATGAGGGGTTGGTCACGGCAGGCCTTTGGCGAGCTCTGACGCACCCGCTGCGCAGCCCGTGCCGAGCTGGCGTGAGGCACAGGACTCGCCGAAATCTTTCCAGGTACGCACTGGGAGCACACGCAATGATTGGAGCTTGTCCTTGTCGTATCCGGGACGTAGATCGGAAATGCCATGACTCAGGAGTCACAGCAAGTCAGCGCACGGGGGAAGTTGCACAGCATCCAGATCTGCACCACGGGAACGAAGCAGAAACCATGCGAAACAGAATTGAACCTACGACTCCATCCTAAGCACCCGAGAGGCGCCCCAATGCCCCAGGACCCGACTCAGGATCGCAGAGGCAGCTCCAGGCGCGGCTACCTGGCATTGCAGGGCTCAAGGGAACTTATGCGTGGCGATAGAGTAGCAAGTTGGCAGCGATGAAGGCCGTGAATTCAAAATGTGGACAAGTCAAGAGTACATGGGTGGTACATCTCCAACTTTGAGTTTTTTTCCAAGGGGTGCTTGGTGGCTAAGACTGCAACGCAAGCATATTCAACTCCAGGAGAGACTGAGCAAAATCACAGGCCAAGCTGGGCAGTACCCAAGCCTTCGCTGCGTATGCCACGGTCAATGGAGGTTCTCCCCATCGGCCAGGCGAGGTACAACCAGGGCAGGTGAGTACGCGGGTTTGTTTGGGCGTCGGAAATGCTTCGGCTTGGCTCTAGAGCTACCAGGTGCCTTTTTTTATCCGGCAATGCTGAAGACACGTACACAGGAAGCCAACTGAGCCCTGCCTGAAGTCCATCGCGATTCAGCCTGCTCAGACAAGATGCAGCTGACAATGAAAGACCCGTAAACCTTACTCAAGCTCATTTGCTTGTCGACTTCATGAGAGCTGAAGCCAACACCATCACCTGCACACTGTGTGCACAGAAGCCACCAGCTCAGTTTGTTTGGGTTGCTAGCATGTGTGGATTGACTGAAATCCGTAGGTTCCGGCAGAGGACGCGAAGAGAACCTCAAACCCCTCTTAGCTGTTTAGGACAGGGAAGTCAGTCGGCCTTTGTCGGGGACCCTGTGTTTGTCACCTGCCAAAGGGGCCTGGTGCTGCGCCATGGACGGTACCTCGAGTGGTTCACAGCAGCCAAGCTGCAGATCAGTTTAGTTTTGTGGGCATCTGCCTGGCCAGATGCGCAAAGCAAACCTTGAGGCCCCAACTTTCAAGCGTCCACAAACATTCTCCTAGGACCGGCTGCGCCGGAGCCAGCGGCAGAGGCGGCCGAGGCGAAGGCATCTCGAACCAGAACCGGGTCCCAGCTGACGGTTGAGCGCTGCATTGTTTGTGGCGCACGCCAAGCCTTGATCTCCAGACTCTCTTAAAGACTCAGCCGAGCTCTCCCATGCCCAGCATACCCTTCTCCGAATCTCCCCCCTAATAAGCTCCCCCCCCCCCCGAAGGAGAAGGAGACGAAGGAGGCCGCTTCTGAAGAGCTGGCAAGGCCCAGGCCTCGGGCCAAGTTCGCCACCTGGACCCGGGAGGCGCCCAGCCCCTGCTTCTTTTTGTTTTTGGTGTGTGTGTGTGTGTGTGTGTGTGTGTGTGTGTGTGTGTGTGTTTGTTTTTTTTTTTTTTTTTTTGGGGGGGGGGGGGGGGGGTGTCGAAGAGTTGAAGAGTCGAACTTGCTTGGGGAGATACTTTTTTTTTGTGGTTCTGGGTGCAAAAGTGTGGCGCTTGTAGTGACGAGTTCCCTCGGTGTGTTTTTGCCAGGTGAGCGGTCGAGCCCTGGCCTCGTCAGCCAAGGCCGGGCTTGGGGAAAGGGTGCCCTTTGAAGTTGCTTGTACGAACCGTACGAACCCTCTGAAGAACCCCAGAGAAGTGTAATGTCTCAGGCTCACGCTCGTGCATCGGATTCCGGGCCGGTGGACGACAAGCCCTCCACATCAAGCTGCTCGATTTGAAGCAGGTTCTTCAAGCATGACCTGCAAAGGCGCCACCCTCACAAGAACAGCCACGTTGCATCCTGCAAGCCGTAGTTGTTTTTCCAGACAACTCTGTTCTCTACCTCTCTCTCTCACACACACACCTTAGACACCCCGAGGAGAGCGTTTCTCAGGAGAGGAGGTGATCAAGTCCATGGCAGGCCGGCCCGGAGCGGGCTCATCTGCAGCGATGTTCGGGGCCCACGTAAAACTGAGTGCATGTTGCTTGGGTCCGGACACAGCGGCACACTCATAATGTGTTGATCGCGTAGGGCTCCGGCTGTGCGCAAGCTTGACAGTAATGTATGAATGCACGTTGAACTTTACCTCCATGCTGTCTGGGGTTTCCGACGGTGAAAAATGTTGGTTAGGTATCCTGCCCTGATAGTCTTGGTCAGAGCATGACTTGGCCCCGGTTGTCCCAGGGCAGGCCGAGCTGGAAACCATGCCTGATCAGCTCCGGAGAGATCGGGACGCTTGGCCATAATATGGGAACACAGGACAAACTGCCTGAAAGTCATTGTAGGCATACTTCAAAGGCGCTGACTACTTGAGCTGAGCAGCAGTCTGCACACACATGCGCTCTCCAAAACAGGCCACAGGGTAGGAGCTCTTTAATGAAGCCTGAGTCTCAGTCTCGGCCAAAACAAGAGCTCCAGGACACAGTGGTAGCCGCTGTTCGAAGTGATGGCCACGCCCTGCAGCATGCCAGTGAGGTTCCGACCAAGACGGAGAGATTCGAAGGTTTGTTTTAGAGGCTGAGAGCACGGCATATATAGTATTGAGATGTCTGCAGTCAATGTCCCATCCGGATGGGAAGTGTTTGTTCCTCGTCTAGAATTCGAGAATATTCCAGACCTCCCCTGCCCATGCCAGCACTCCTTGGAAGGACCTCAGAGCCGATCGGCACGTTGTCCTTGCGGCGGTGAAGGACTTCTGAGAGCGTCGGGGCTGGCAAATGTGGGGTTTAGACTGCCCGGGCATGGCATGTGATCCTAGGCTAGAACAGTCTTGCGAATAAGCTGCTGTAAACAGTGTTGCCACGGACTGCTGCGAAGGAGAATGGATTGGCATTGCGACACGCCGCGCAGGTGAGCCTTGCATGGTCCACACAATGACATTGAGCAAACAAAGCCTTTGGAATTTCCAGTGATGGCAGATGTCCTACTTGCGCCCTGTGGAGGTGCTTTGCAGCGACCAAGACCTCGTGCTTGCAGCGGTTCGTCAGAATGGCTTGGCCCTGCAGCCACCACGCTGAAAGAAATTTCGCCAAGCTTTCTATGGCTTTCTGCTGACGTCTTCTTAAGAAACTGCCCGGGTTCACGATCCTGTGGTCTTGAGCACTTTGCGGACCTCTTCTCTCTCTTAGAAAACTTCCAAGCCTTCTCTTCTTGAGCCTTTTAAAGCCTGAGACTTGAAACCCATTTCAACCCTATCTTCAAGACTCTCAAAATGTGCCCAGACACGCCGCCCCAGAGCTGCGCAGAAGCTCAGCACTCGTCCTCGAGGCCCTCGCTTCTGACCCCCAGGCTGGAGCATGGCTTTTGTTCGATGGAACAGTTTGTGGAAATGTTGGAGGTTGGAATTCTAAGGTTTACACTGTACACCGGGGTTTGAAGAGTTGAAGCCGAGAATTTCCAAGTCCGTGCGCAGTCTGGTACCCACAAAAGAGTTTACCGTGGTTCTTTAGGGCGTTCAATGGGATTCAGATTCATGCCGAACTTCTCCGACAAGGAAGATACCATGTTCCTTGACAAGGCATGTCCGTAATTTGTCCTTGATTGCTCGTGACTCGATTGATTCCTTCGGATATTTCGATGTCCCCTGTGAAGGAGTAAAGACAGGCCGAAGTGCAACCCTAGGTGCCACACACGTGGAGTGACTGGCACCCATGACAATATATGACCATCATTAATCCCAACAGTTGCGAAAGGCTGCTCGGTTTGTGTCGCGGGAGCTCTTGGATGATCGCGACTTCGTGACGCGTGCCTGCAAGAGACTCAAGTTCAGGAGTATTGACAAGGGCCTTGACGTAGGGTTCGGGACGGAGGGCTCTAGGATGCATTCCGCCAGCTTGTACCCTATGAATCCGACATGCAACTTGCGCTGCGAAGGATTTCGGCCACTCCCTTTACTCGACGCATTTTCGAGAAGGCTCCCGCCAGGGTACTGCTAGCAACGTCGTGTCTGACTCGCTGATTCGCTGCGGCATCTGCGGCTTCACTAAGCTTGATGGAGGGTTTTCGATTGATAAATAAGGATATGTAAGCAACGAGACCTTGCAAAGCCTTTTCAGCACCAAGCAGGATCATGTTCAGCACGAAAGTAGCGGACGACTACTACTACGACGACGACGATGACGACGACGAAGACCAAGACCAAGACTATGACTATCACGAACTTGTTTAATGTGTCTCCCCAGTCGAAACCGATTTGGACTCTCTAGACGGTTCGGAGACTTTAACAGAAGCCCCCCACGGGAGAGATGCCGGGCAACTGATTCAAGGGATGTTAAAGGCGTGCGGCACGAAATATTCTTGCCGCACCCAGGCCGGCAGGATAGCCTGTGTTAGACGGGACCCAGAATAAACATCACTCCTGTGCCTGCTGCTGATCACTATTTTTTGAATTCATCGGATCACTCTATTGCGTCATCACGATCGCTAATCTACGCTGTGTTGATCTCTATCTGGTTGGCCAGTTCATTCATTTTCTCATTTTGACCAAGGTTTATTCACTATGGGCTGGGTTTTTTTTGCCACCCGTAGGGTTTTTTTTAGACCCTTTTTCGAAGGCTGTTTCTGCGCCCTGGGCCGGCCTCCTGGTCGCCCCCCTCGTGGACAGGGTCCGAAAAAAGCCCTCCTCGCCAACCCACGGCTTTTTCTATCCCCTGCCATGCACCCAGGACGAGAAAAAACCTCGCCCTGCCTTGATAGGGCTTTAATTCCGCCCTGCGCAGCCCGGACCCAGCCTCCCGTGCCACCTACACGTCCCGATAAAAACCCTTCTCGACCCGACGGTGGGCTTTCAACGGGCCACTCTTGACGCCCCATGTCCCGAAAAAAGCCTTCTCGACCCAACTGCGGGCTTTTTTTGGATCACTGCACGAGCCCTTTGGCCGGACAGGTCTCAAAAAAAGCCCCCCACCCTTCGCCAACGGGATGCAAAGGGCCCCCTTAATGGCTTCAAACGCGCTTCGGGGGCACAGGGCCAGAATGAAGCCCCAGGGGGAGCGGAAAACATCCTATAGGCCTAGGAGGGCTTTTTTCACGCCCCGTGAAGGCTCTCTTTACGTCCTGTTTGAGCCTCAGGGCCTCTCCAGGACCTTTTGCTACTTCATACAATTGGCCCCTTCTGAGTGAGTGAGTGAAAGAAAGAAAGAACGAAAGGAAAGAAAGAAGGAATGGAAAAAACGCAGAGGGGCCTACCCGGGTCTCGGGGTTTGAGGCTTTCGGGAGTTTGTGGCGAGGGGGGGTTCAAGTCGTACGAACCCATCGTGCGAGGATTGTGTCTGCAGATGGGGGGGGGCTGCGCCCCCCCCCAACCCCCCCTGCTTTTTCCAGGCTGCCACCCATTTTAAGTGTACAGTCTTTTCAAAGACATGATGCGAGTATGTGTTTGCAAAGCCCGTTCTAAGCCGTGCAGTTCTTTCAAAAAAACCTGATGCGACCTGTGTGTTTGCAAATGGGGGGGGGGCTGCGCCACCCCCCCCTCCCCAATCCCCCCGCTCTTTTTTTAGATGCACAGAGCTTTGAAAGAACATTTTGTCTCAAAGCCATCATGCGACGTCGTGGTTGCAAACCGGGGAAGGGGTGTTTGAGTCGTGCGAACTCAGCACGCGAACATTGTGTTTACAAATGGGGGGGGGCTACAACCTCGCCCCCGCTTTTTTTAAGGCTGCCGCCCATTTTAAGCCGTACAGTCTTTTTCAAACACATGCTGCGAGGATTGTGTCTGCAAGTTGGCGGGGCTGCACTCCCCCCAGCCGCTGCAAACTCGGAAATGCTGCTCAGTATTTGCGACCTCTGGACACGCACAAATGCTGCTATTTACAGTATATGCAGCCTGTGGCAACGCAGAAATGCCGCTATTCACAGTATTTGCAGACTTTGGCAACGCAGAAATGCTGTGATAAACAGTATTTCCGCCTTTGCAAACGCAGAAATGTTTCAATTTGCAGCACTCGCAGCCGAACCAAGAACCAAGGCCGAGCCACACCTTTGCAAGGGAAACATGGCCGAGCGCTTTGCAACAAAAACCTCCGCTCATGTATGAAGTTGGGGTCGACAAGAAAAGATTTACTTCTCCCACAATTAAGGACATCCAGTCTTTCAAAATTTCAAATTTCGAAATGTTTTGAAAATTTGAAAGTTTGAACTTCTCACACTTTCAAACTTGCAAAATTTCGAAAATATTTAAAGGCGAACATATGTGAAATTTTGAAAGTTTGAAATTCCAAAATTTCAAAAGTTGCTAAAATTTAAAAAGTTCGGGAATCTTCCCAGGCAATATTTTCCAACTTTCAAGATTCTAAATCTTCAAAAAAGTTTTAAAGGCGAAGATTTTTGAAATATTTAAGGTTTGAAAATCCAAGTTTTCAAAATTTCAAAATCCCAAAAAAGTTTGTAAAGGCGAAGATTGTTGACAATTTGAAAGTTTGAAATTCTCAGACTTTCAAGAGTTTTGAAATTTTGAAAGTTTGAAATTGAAACTTTCAAAATTTCAAAAGTTTTTAAAAATTAAAAAGTTCGGGAAACTTACCGGACAGTTTTTTTCAGTTTTCAAGATTTCAAATTTTCAAAAATGTTTTAAAGGCGAAAATTTTTGAAATTTTGAAAGTTTGAATATCCAATCTTTCCCTGTTTCAACATTTGAAGAAAGTTTTTAAGGCGAAAATTTTTTAAAATTTGAAAGTTTGAAATTCTCACACTTTCAAACTTTCAAAATTTCAAAAACATTTCAAAAGGCGAACATTTTCGTATGGAGGGAAGGCCCGGGCTCGTAATTTAGTATTGGGGGAAGCCCGGGCTCGTGATTTTGTATTGGGAGGAGGCCCGGGCTCGTAATTTTTTGTTGGGGGGAGGCCCGGGCTCGTAATTTAGTATTGGGGGCAGGCCCGGGCTCGTAACTTCGGGCTCGTAATTTAGCATTGGTGGGAGCCTCGCGCTCGTAACTTAGTATCGGGAGGCGGCCCGGGCTCGTAATGAAGTATTGGGGGGAGGCCCTTGCTCGTAATAGTATTGGGAGGAGGATTCGAATAGTTTGAATGGTTTGGGGGCTTTTCCTATCCCTTAGGATTTGTTGGGCTGGGGTGGGAAGCAAAGGCCAAGAGGCCATCCTATCGCTTAGGACTTTTGGGTTGCGGTGGGAAGCAAAGGTTCAGAGGCCCTCCTATTCCTTGGGATTTTTGGGACTGCGATGGGAACAAAGGCCCAGAGGCCCTCCTATCCCTTGGGATTTTTTGGGGCTGCGGTGGGAAGCAAAGGGCAAGAGGCCATCCTATCGCTTAGGACTTTTTGGGCTGCGGTGGGAAGCAAAGGCCCGGAGGCGACTAGCCGACAAAACAATCCTAAGCCACAGTAATAGCATTTTTCATGAAAGTGAGTTCTTGCAATTTCGGAAAACAACGGCGGGGAGTCGTCTTGAAGCCGGACAACTCATTTTTGGACAGGCTCGCCTCGCTGCCAGCTTTTGCGGGAAGCCGCTTCGGACCAAAAAATAGGCTTTTTCATAGATTCCCAAAAGTCTGCAATCACGCTGACTCTGTACTTTTTTCGCTTGGAATCAGCAAAAACAGCAAGTTTGCTCAAAAAATTCGGGGTGTAAAAAAGCCCTGCCCTCTCATAGGGGGTTTAGGTTTCGGAGGCGTGCGACCGGGCAACAGCCAGATTATTGAGTCCCCGCCGCTTCTTTTAAGCCGTACCAAGCTTGCTTCAAAGCCCAAGAAACTAGTTGAAAAAAGAAAAAAACATCGTGTGAGCAATGTGTTTGCAAAAGGGGGGGGGCTGCGCCCCCCCCAACCCCCGCGCTTTTTTTGGCCGCGCAGAGCGTGCCTCAAAGCCCAAGAAACTTGTTGACGCCCATCGTGTGAGCAGGGTGTTTGCAAGCAGGGTGTTTGCAAGTGGGGCGGGGGGGGGGTGCGCCCCCCAACCCCTCCCCGTTCTTTTAAGCCAAGAAACTAGTTGAAAAAACATCGCGTGAGCATTGTGTTTGCAAATGGGGGGGAGCTGCCCCCCCCCCCCCCCCCCCAGGCTGTTGTTAAAGCCGTGCAGAGCGTGCTTCAAAGCCAAGAACTTGTTGACACACCCATTATGTTAGCATGGGTTTTCATGGGGGCGGCCGCTGCGCCCCCCCCCGCCCCCTCCCCCCCCCATACCCCCCCCCGCTTTCTACTCATTGCAAAGCTTGGAAGCTGTTTTTAAAGCCGTGTCAAAGCGTGCTTCCAGCTGTTTAAAGCCCATCACATTGCTTTTGCAAATGGGGGGGGGGGGCTGGGGCCGCCACCCCCCGCACTTGTTTTTAACGTGCGAGCTTGCTTACAAACCCTAAACTTGTTTGACACCCACATGTGAGCAGGGTTTTTTGCAAGTGGGGGGGGCCCCCCTTTTAACCCGTTACCAAGTGCGTGCTTCAAAAGCCCAAGAAAACTAGTTGAGAGAAAGAAAACCTCGTGTGAGCATTGTGTGGGGCTGCTCCCCCCCCCCCCCCAAGCCCCCCGCTTTTTATTTGCCGGCAGAGCGCGCTTCAAGCCCATAAAACTTGTTGACGCCCATCAATGTAGCAGGGTGTTTGCAATTGGGGGGGTTCTGGCGCCCCCCCCCAACCCCCCCCGCTTCTTTTAGGCCGTACCAAGCGTGCTTCAAAGCCCAAGAAACTAGTTGAGAAAAAAAAACATCGTGTGAGCATTGCGTTTGCCGGGGGGGGCTGCGCCCCCCCCAACCCCCGCGCTTTTTTTTTGCCGTGCAGAGCGTGCTTCAGAGCCCAAGAAACTTGTTGACACCCATCATGTGAGCAGGGTGTTTGCAAGTGGGGGGGGGCTGCGGCCCCCCCCCCCCCCCAACCCAAGCGTGCTTCAAAGCCCAAGAAACTAGTTGAGGAAAAAAACATCGTGTGAGCATTGAGTTTGCAGATGGGGGGGGCTGCGCCCCCCCCAACCCCCCCGCTTTTTTTTTAAGCCGTGCAGAGCGCGCTTCAAAGCCCAAGAAACTTGTTGACACCCATCATGTGAGCAGGGTGTTTGCAAGTGGGGGGGGCTGCGCCCCCAGCCCCCCCCGCTTCTTTTAAGCCGTACCAAGCGTGCTTCAAAGCCCAAGCAACTAGTTGAAAAAAAAAACATCGTTTCGACAGCCAGACTATAGCATCCTTTCTGACGCAAGACCGTGATGTCTAGGGGGTTTAGTGTCGGAAGGCATGCGACCGGGCAACAGCCAGATTATTGATTATTGCATCACTATTGCATCATTGCTGAGGCAAGACCATGATGTCTAGGGTTCAGGCTAGCATGCTCACGGGAGCTGCAAGTAGGCGAGCTCAGAACGCAGAGTCATGAGCAAGGACCTGACGACAGGCAGACTATGGCATCGTTTCTGACACAAGACCGTGATGTCTAGGGGGTTTAGGGTTCGGAAGGCATGCCAGATTATTGCGTCATTATTGAGGCAAGACCATGATGTCTAGGGTTTAGGTTTAGGTTTGGGAAGCATGCTCACGGGAGCTGCGAGTAGGTGAGGTCAGAACGCAGAGTCATGAGCAAGGACCTGACGACAGCCAGACTATTGCATCATTTCTGGCGCAAGACCGTGATGTCTAGGGGGTTTAGGTTTCGGAGGCGTGCGACCGGGCAACAGCCAGATTATTGGCAAGACCATGATGTCTAGGGTGTAGGTTTAGGGTTGGGAAGGATGCTCACGGGAGCTGCGAGTAGGTGAGGTCAGAACGCAGGGTCATGAGCAAGGACCTGACGACAGCCAGACTATTGCATCATTTCTGACGCAAGACCGTGATGTCTCGGGGTTTAGGGTTCGGAAGGCATGCGACCGGGCAACAGCCAGATCATTGCGTCATTGCTGAGGCAAGACCATGATGTCTAGGGTTTAGGCTTATTAGGGTTTGGGAAGCATGCTCACGGGAGCTGCGAGTAGGTGAGCTCAGAACGCAGAGTCATGAGCAAGGACCTGACGACAGCCAGACTATGGCATCGTTTCTGACACAAGACCGTGATGTCTAGGGGGTTTAGGGTTCGGAAGGCATGCCAGATTATTGCGTCATTATTGAGGCAAGACCATGATGTCTAGGGTTTAGGTTTAGGTTTGGGAAGCATGCTCACGGGAGCTGCGAGTAGGTGAGGTCAGAACGCAGAGTCATGAGCAAGGACCTGACGACAGCCAGACTATTGCATCATTTCTGGCGCAAGACCGTGATGTCTAGGGGGTTTAGGTTTCGGAGGCGTGCGACCGGGCAACAGCCAGATTATTGGCAAGACCATGATGTCTAGGGTGTAGGTTTAGGGTTGGGAAGGATGCTCACGGGAGCTGCGAGTAGGTGAGGTCAGAACGCAGGGTCATGAGCAAGGACCTGACGACAGCCAGACTATTGCATCATTTCTGACGCAAGACCGTGATGTCTAGGGGTTTAGGGTTCGGAAGGCATGCGACCGGGCAACAGCCAGATTATTGCGTCATTGCTGAGGCAAGACCATGATGTCTAGGGTTTAGGCTTATTAGGGTTTGGGAAGCATGCTCACGGGAGCTGCGAGTAGGTGAGCTCAGAACGCAGAGTCATGAGCAAGGACCTGACGACAGCCAGACTATGGCATCGTTTCTGACACAAGACCGTGATGTCTAGGGGGTTTAGGGTTCGGAAGGCATGCCAGATTATTGCGTCATTATTGAGGCAAGACCATGATGTCTAGGGTTTAGGTTTAGGTTTGGGAAGCATGCTCACGGGAGCTGCGAGTAGGTGAGGTCAGAACGCAGAGTCATGAGCAAGGACCTGACGACAGCCAGACTATTGCATCATTTCTGGCGCAAGACCGTGATGTCTAGGGGGTTTAGGTTTCGGAGGCGTGCGACCGGGCAACAGCCAGATTATTGAGTCCCCGCCGCTTCTTTTAAGCCGTACCAAGCTTGCTTCAAAGCCCAAGAAACTAGTTGAAAAAAAAAAACATCGTGTGAGCAATGTGTTTGCGGGGGGGGCTGCGCCAACCCCCGCGCTTTTTTTTTGGCCGCGCAGAGCGTGCCTCAAAGCCCAAGAAACTTGTTGACGCCCATCGTGTGAGCAGGGTGTTTGCAAGTGGGGCGGGGGGGGGGGCTGCGCCCCCCAACCCCTCCCCGTTCTTTTAAGCCGTGCCAAGCGTGCTTCAAAGCCCAAGAAACTAGTTGAAAAAAACATCGTGTGAGCATTGTGTTTGCAAATGGGGGGGAGCTGCCCCCCCCCCCCCAACCCCCCCGCTTTTGTTTAAAGCCGTGCAGAGCGTGCTTCAAAGCCCAAGAAACTTGTTGACACCCATCATGTGAGCAGGGTGTTTGCAAATGGGGGGGCACTGCGCCCCCCCCAACCCCCCCCGCTTTCTAAGCAGTGCAAAGCGTGCGAAGCTGTTTTAAGCCGTGCAAAGCGTGCTTCAAAGCCTGTTGAAGCCCATCACATTGCGTTTGCAAATGGGGTGAGGGGGGGGGCTGGGGCTGCGCCCCCCCCAACCCTCCCGCTTTTTTTCAAGCCGTGCAGAGCGCGCTTCAAAGCCCAAGAACTTGTTGACACCCATCATGTGAGCGTATGAATAATATGAAAACATAGAGGGAATGCAGCTTTTTACAAGGAAAAGCAAGAAAACACACCATAAAGATAGTTAATATTACGAAACGTAGTATGAATCCCATGAAAATATGGACGGAATGTAGCTTTTTCCTACGAAAAACCAAGAAAGCGAATCACAAAAGAAGCATTAATAAGAAATCTGACGAAAAGTAGTATGAATCCGATGAAAATATAGAGGGAATGATAGAAACCAAGAAACGAACCAAATAGGGTTTTCCCTAGGAAAAAGAAGGAAAAGCAACGTACGCTATTACGTTTGACGAAATCCGTCCAAAATGTAAGCAGAATAGGGTTTCCTTAGGAAAAACCAACGAAAACCTCAAGGAAATGACACCCTAGGAAAAACCAAGGAATACCTAAGGGAAATGACAGGAAATCCGTTTAAGATCTAAAAGAAATACGGTTTTCCCTATGGAAAACCAACGAAAACCTAAGGGAAATGACAGAAAATCCGTCCAAAATGTAAGGAAAGTAGGTTTTTCCTAGAGAAAACCAAGAAAATCGATAAAAAAAAGACCCCCCAAAACAAAAGACCCCAAAGCGCCCTAAGCCCGAAACGTAACGGTAGAGGTCTCTCCATGGACCCTAAACCTGGCCATAACACCGAAACTCAACCTGTAAGCCTTAAGCCTAAGCACAGCTATGAGACCCAGCCTGGCCTCATCCCCAAATGACTCCAATCCCCCTGAAGAAGCCGACCCCCAAGCTGGGAATCGCCCCTAAACATGTGCAGCACTAAACTCAGCCCGGGCGCGAAAAAAGCCCCAGACCCAGCCCAGGGCAGTCCGGACAGGGTGCGAAAAAAACCCAAATCCTGAACAGGGTGCCAAGGGAGCCAATTCGGGGTGTAAAAAAAGCCCTGCCCCCCCTATTCGCTCACTAAATTTTGATTTTCAATTTTCCAATGCTTGCTTGCCTGCTGCAAGCCCACTTAATTAACATTAGACTATTTATTTCCTACTGCGAGTACGACGCCATTTGCTGCTACTCGTTTGGGGCTTCTTTGGTATGTTAGTTGTGGTCTTTGGATTTCTTGAGCTTTTGGCTTGGGTTTCCTCAGCTTTTGGGTTTGGGGCTTGGGCATATCGGCCGGTCGTTAGGCCCTTAGGCTTTTGTTTCTCAAGAAGAAACAACAACAGAACGCCGACAAGAGCAACTGAAACAGCAGCAGCAACTGCAACAAAGACAACAACTGGAATAGTAGTGAGGCAGCAACCACCACCGCCACCGCCACCACCACCACCACCACGCCGCATTGTGTAAAAGCAGCATCACCCACCTTGTGTGAGCCCTACTGGACAATGGAATTCTACAACTACATTGTAAAGCGAACGCTTCAACATCCACAAGCCGACCATCTTAGGCCTACCTACCCCCACGAATTCAGAGGCTTCCTTCCGGCTCAAGCGCGACCTGGACGTTGTCCTGGAGGTGGTAGACTCTTCAGCTTTGATTAGCGCACGGTTTCGCATTTCGTTGGAAGTGCGTGTGATGAAAAGTACCGAAAGACACACACACACACACACACACACACACGCACGCACGCACGCACGCACGCACGCACGCACGCACGCACGCACGCACGCACGCACGCACGCACGCACGCACGCACGCACGCACGCACTCACGCACGCACGCACCCACGCACGCACGCACGCACGCACGCACGCACGCACGCACGCACGCACGCACTCCCACACGCCACACGCACGCCCACACGCACACACACGCACACACACACACGCACCACACGCGCACACACCACACTCACACGCCACACGCGCACACGCACCACACGCACACACGCACACACGCACACACTCACACAAACGCACACACGCACACCGCACACGCACACACACACACACACACACACACACATATATATATATATATACATATATATACATATATATACATATATATATATATATGCTACATATATATATATATATCATGTATATACTCCCCCCCCGTCCCTGCGAACGGCCTCGCATAGGATCCCAGAGAGACCAGGATCCAAGGGACCCAAGCTTCGCGTGGTCTTAGGGATAGCAAAACACGGAAGAGGGTTCCTCCCTCTGCATTGCAAAGGAAGAGCACTCGAGGCAAAGAGCCCAAGTGAACAGAACGGCAGCAGTAGCTCCCGTTCCAGAAAGCAAAACCGCTGCAAGTGCCTGTTCTGACCATCAGCACAGGTCCAATAGAAAACTGCTAGGGTGCGGTGAGAAGCACTTGTAAAAGATGAAGACATGCTCATCCTGAGCAAAATGCCTCCCTACCGACTCATGTGGGTGAGGCACGTTGCGTCGGCCGGTTGCCCACTATAAAACTCCTATGCTCTTCATAACCCGACCTAGACTTCATCTTGGGTGCGATGGCCATGTGGAGCGTGAGATCCGCTTTCCACTTTGCATTGCATGTCAGCCCTTTCAGTTTTCCGCGTTCCACTGGTTTTCGACTTTCGTTTTTGCTCTTTCCCTTCCATGTGACCAACGGCCTTTCCAACAAAAAAGTGGAAGGCGGAAAGTGTCAGGGCATGGTCCCAAAATGAAGTGGATAGTGGTCCCTAAGTTTGATTAACAGAATTCGATGTCAACTGTATTTCTTCACTGTTTCTACAACTTTTCACAGACGGAAGTATTGGAAGAGGATGAAGGGCAGCTTTGCATGTTTCGCTTTTGAGATTAAATTGCAGGCTAACAGCACAAGTACTGTAATCACTATCACTGACCTCCAATGATGTTAACGAAAGTAGTTAAGTTATTCAGCGCCTTAACTTGGGAGGGAACCACTATGATTGCATGCAATGGTTCTGCTCCTTTAAAGTTGGAGGCCATTTGTTATGCATCCGTCTACACAACAACACCGCAATTGTTGCCTGGTGTACACATATATATCTTTTGCACTACACATGCGACTCGCAACTTGTAGATTTCTATACTCGTACTCGCACTCATATCAGTTTCCCGCCCCAATCAGATAGCGCAACTCATGTTCGGATACATTGAGCAACCTAGTTTGAGACCAGGTGTTTTCTTCGAGTTATGCTTTTTGGATGGCCGCAATTGTTGGAAGAGACTGTTGGGACAACCCATGTCATGTCGCCAAACAATACAGTAGTAGAATTCCGGTCCACTTGTTTTTGTAAATAGGGCTAGTTATAGTCCTTGAATTACAATACTAACATTGGCTTGCGACAGTAACAGCCGATCTCACATGTAAAGGAAGTAGAGCAGAGCTTATAGGACTTCACCTCTTACGAATTAGATATTAGTTCCACCAACTTTGCGTTGGGCGGGTTGCTTAGTTTGCAAGGGGGTCAGGTTAAGTTCTTAAACGGGTTCTACTATTGAAAGGGTCGGGAATATTGGGACAGCTTTGCCTTTTTGGATGTGTGGTCCTAACTCGGAGATGTGGAAATCTGTATTTTGTTAATCGGGTATGTAGTTCCATTCATATAGCTGACCTTCAACGATGTGTTAGTCACAACAGATACGTTTCGCACTCCTGGGAGCGAGTTTGCTATCGAAGCTTTACACAGAGTAAGTAGCAATAGTTGAGTAGGTGCCACATATACGTACACACACATATGTATATGTATTTATACATATATATATATATATACATGTGTGTGTTCATACACAGAGATTTGTGTATATGTGTATCTGTAGGCGTGCGCACTTCCTCACATCCCAACACCCAAAAACTTAATTCAGGCATGGGAGTGTTTTGGTTACAGGTGAGAGGCCTTGTAGTATGGCCCTCAGCTCTCCCGCATGTTTTGCAACTTCAAGAGAGATCGTCGCATGATAGAATATCCTCGATCCTTGAGACACTGAACATATCGCTGCCAACACCAAAGCCTTCCGATCTTCGTATGTTCCACCGGCCACGCGTGTTTGGATGGCTCAGTTTGCTGCAGGGGTATCAGGGGATGTGTTCCGACAAAAGGGCCGGCACCAGTCATTTTTCGAGACAGCTCTGTCGTTTTTCAGACGTCCAAAAAACAGGCAGCCGTCTCAAGAATCCTGTGGTTCGTGCGCACCATCATGTCAACACTCCTGCCGATGGCCGCCCAAAAGCTCAGGAACAAGACCCAGACACGTTCCTCTTCGCAGCTTGGGAGCTGCGCTGCGACCCACAGGCCCCAACGACTTGGGACGGCTGGACTCGTTGACCACATGCAGGTTGTTTTTTTCATGGCTCCGCGAAATGCACGCAGGGCTCGATGGCACGTCTCCTTGCGAAGATTGGGAAAGCATGGAAAGCCCATTGTGGAAGTGTTGCGTTAACTCACCTCCTTCAACAATCGTATGTACAAATATTGTATGTGCCCACAAAGCCGAAGGCCGTCAGGGCTGTTGTCAGTACAGCAGGCTGTGCTGCTTGGCCGAGAAAAATTCCGTCCAAGTTTAGGCTTTTGGTGATCCATGGTGGTGCTTTCAAGTTACCTAGAGTTTGTTGTGTGCGTGTGTGTTTTTGAATGGGACTCATCTAAGCTTCCATTGCTCACCCCCATCCCTTGAGAGAAGTCTGAGGCCATCGCGCATGCCTCACCCGACCTCCGACGGGACATTGCGCATTTTGCTGTGGCTCATACTTAGCCTTTTGATGGCAGGTTTGTCATTTCTATCGACATACTGTAGGCTTGCTTGACAGGGGCCCGACGGAATCAGGCAACCAAATGCCTCGCGGCACAAACTTATCTAGGCCTAGACCCCCGGTTTGCCTGGCAGGACCCCTCCATCCTGGCCGCAGCTTGGGCTGCATTAATCGAGTGGTTGAACGGTGTCAGACCGGCTAAACACTGTTCAAAAGCATTCAACACCTCCTCTCCCACTGTACTCAGACGCATTGTAATCAAGTGTTAGGAAGTGAAACAGACTCACTAAGCCAACGTCACCCGGATGCCTTGAAAGATTGTTTGCAAGAGGTTGCCGTCGCCAATGACCCCATGGCGAGAGCGGCCGCGCAAAGTGGTTAGACAGCCAAGAAAGGGGCATGGGCTGGGCTTACACATCGCTGTTTGACATTGCGGTAGGCTCCATGTCTGATCATGTAAATCTCAGAAGGTTTCTCTGCTTGCTTCAGCTTACGTTGTGGTGGTTTTCGCCCACGTATGACTGCGCATAGCTAGCTCTGTGCCTGAAAGCTCACTTTTGGATGCCGCGTCGTCTTCAGTACTGCACAGCGAGTGCTAGTCAATTATTCGTTGCTAGAAATACTTTGTATGCCTCGTTGTATGGCTGCGTTCTGCCACAGAGTTTTCGGCTGGCTTACTGGTCCATGGCGGGCCGCCTCTGTCTCGTCTCGTTTACATGTGCAGGACATGAACACTAGTATCCTGCAAGTTTCTTGCGTCAAAGATGAGTGCTGCGCATATGGCCATTTTGTGCTCCAGAGCCTTCGCCAGGGCACCGGTGAGCAGGCAAGGCCTCTAAATATGCCAGAGTTGTGACAATTCCTACACGGTCCATGGTGAAGATTGAGTCACAGCTGGCAGCATGCAGGATTATAGAGGTGCCTAGAGTTCCTGCACACTGAACTTGCATCCATCACATAGTCATAGCCACTTCGGCAAAAACCTGCTGAAAGCCTCTTATAATTGCAGAGTGGACCTAGCATCCTTCTATGATTCACAAACTTACAGCATCTCAGAGCCCCAGCCCTTACGCCGCACTTAGCCCTGCGCCCTCAGCCACAGAACTCAAGTGTCTTGGCTAGATGCCTAGGCACCCAAGCACCCTTTCCAAAATCCTACCCAGACTTCAGACATAAGACTTAGACTTTCACCCCTGCGTAGCGAGCTTCATCCGCGAGCCATGCACGTGCTCGAGGCACCCAGAACAGAATACAGGGGCTGGTGTGTTCAAGGGTTCTCTGCCTGCTTAAGAGTCGCAACTGAAAACAGATTGGCATAGAAGTGAACGAATTTGTTGCCTTGTTCGCTCACCTACTTTGACTTGGGAAGCGTTGCCACTGCTCAAACTGTCAACATGCCTGAACTTCTAGCATGGGTCGGTACAGGATGGCCCGAGCACTTAAAAAGTCTTTTTGAAAAGTCCTCTTCAAAAACAAGCAAGGGCTTTCAACAAGTCTAAAAAAAGTCTTCAAAAAGTCCGGAAGAGTGTCTCAATCGAAGACTGGTAAAAGACTAGGAAAAGTCCAAAATAAGTCTCGGGAGAGTCACCTGGCAAGCTGCCCTCCGGAGACTCTGCCCGGAGACTCTCCCCGAGACGTACTTTAGACTTTTCCTAGGCTTTTCCCAGGCCTCTTCAGGACTTTTTGAAGACTTTTTTAGACTTTTTGAAAGACCTTGTTTTTGAAGAGGACTTTTCAAAAAGACTTTTGATGCTGTCGGTACCAGCAGCTGCCCTGACGCTGATGATGGCTTCGTGGAAGGCCCAGCCGATGGGGACCCAGCCAAGCCAGTGCAGCAGAACCCGGCCAGGCAGCAGATACTCCCCGCAGGCAAGGTGACGCTGAAAGCGGCTGTGATGCTCATGGAAGCTTCGTGACTCACGAGCCGTGCGATGCAGATGATGCAGCCCTAGTCCGCACTCCGACACGCATGAGGATGTGGGCAGAGATGACATGGGGGAAGCTGACCTCTTCTTGCAGCTCAACCTTATGTGCCAGGAACATGCTGGTGACTCGGAGTAGGATCGGAACGTGCTGCTCGGTGCCGTCTCCTCCACCTGCATGAAGGGATTGGGTGTTGTCAGCTTTGCCTTTGTGACGTTGGCATTGTTCATGACCAGTCTGACGCTTCTGGTGGTCAGCGACTACTACCAGGTGAGGATCATCAAGCAGACTTGTGAACATCTGCTGCTCCGTCTCCCTGCTACTGCCCGGCGACTCCTCCAAGCCAGCTGGCATCAACCCCGAGGCGGCAGGGCGCTTTGCTCAATGTACATCATGTATCAAATATCAGCCTGCAGGCTGATGAGTTGCAAGCATGGTTCAAGACGGCAGCTTGAGTGCCGCTTGTAAAGTCTTCCATGCACGTGGCCAGAAAATTCCGAGGAAGACTCCGCCAAAGCTTCCGGAACCAGCTTTGTGAGGAGAGACGCTTCTGTTTCAGGGGCTTTAGAATGCACTCTCGATGAGAGTTGCGCACAGACCTGCTTCGTGTGCGACACGAGCATCCCGCTCGAAGCCCTGGAGGCTTGGCCGACTTGGCCTGTGCTCTGCAGAAGAACGCAGAGTGCCATCTCGTCCAGCAAGGCTGCCTCCACAGGAAGACGTGCAAACTCCGCTGAAGCGCAAGCGCCCGGTGTGGAGGATTCCATGCCGGCAGAGTGCTGCAACCTTTTCCAGACAGGGCGAGGGAGCCAGAGAGTGTTGTCACAAGTCTCACTTTCCGACGTGGGGGAGCATGCTGAGCGGCATACCTGAGCGCCCACAGGAGGGGCCGGAGGTGCCGGGGCCAACGCGTCGACGTTCCCGCCTTCGGGCCGTCGATGTGTGACAGCGAGACCAATGGGCGAGCGTGCTCGCTGGGGCCGGGCGCCCAAGTCAAAGTTGGAGAGCCTCGCAAGTAACCTTTCAATCTGCTTGTGAATGCTTATATGGGCCTGTTGTGGTTATCCATGTACGCTGCTTTGGGACATGAAAATCGAATAAGAATGCGATGGAATAGAAAACCTTGAAAGGTTTCCGCCTTTTCCGAATCTGGAGGCTGAGCAGGAGCATGACAGCATCAAAGTATTCCCTATATCCCCCTTGGGAATCATTTTTATTTTTATTCATATAACACCGTAGAGGATATTACAAATACTATTTTGATGAAGGTTCTAAGGGGAGTATAGTTCCCGACTTTTCATCTTCAGAACCGGGCTGAGAACATCTGCGCAATCGCTAAGCCCAACGAGCCTAGCTCCTGAAATGATGAGCACATGTACACCCTCAGGCACACCGTCTTAAAGCCAAGGTGAAGTGAGGGACAGCTCACGCTTGACCTGACAGCCTGAGGCAAAAGCGCATGCTGGCCATGGTGATTCTCCTGGCTGGGGCAGTCGCCAGTGAGGCTCTGCTGGGCAGGAGTTGAAAGGGAGTGTGGAGACCCTAAACCGGTCCGTCACCAAAGCCTACAGGTCCTTCGCCTTAAACTCCTTCCTGAAGCGGATGTCCGGCCGCAGAGCTACACTGACCTGGCCGCAGGGTGGGGATACTACCTGCCCGTTGTGCGCAAGGACAGGTTTCGTGAGAATGCTGCGCAACATCGATGATTCGACGTCAGATGAAGAGCTTCAAGATCCCCAGTCTGGTGTGACGAACTCGTCAAGCCACTCATCGCAAAGGACGGCTTGCTCGAATGTCCACCGTTTGGCCTGAAATCGTCTTTGCTTTGGGCTTTGCTTTGGATCCTTTTCTGGACAACGCTCTTCGGCAGCCATTGAGGACATCCATGTCGATGGAGCAGAAAGATAGTCGCAGTTTTTCATCGGCGAAGTATCCGCGAATTTCTCTCCACGTTTGCTCTTCAGCTTTTGGTGGATGAACTTCACGTCTTCAGAGTGAGCTCAGATTTACATTGACTTGTCCTGCTGAGGAGTTGGTGGTCATGCTTTTGGAAAAAGCCGCCGTGCAGGGACCGATCGTGCTTGTCGACAGCTGCGACCCAGACAATGAACGTCAGTCTATGCCAGCGTGGCATCTCTGCACCCCCGTTGCGATTCTCCGCGGTATTTGGCACCCTTTGACCTGCCACGCAGATCCTCGCGACAGTACTTATAGCCGTGCTGTGAGAAAAGAGATCGACAGCAGCCTCTTACTTCTGTGGATGAAGATGTTGTGCGCCTTTTGACGCTTTAAACTCGCAGCGTTGTGAGTCAGGTTGACCGGTACAAAGGCGACAACGCGTATGTCCGGGCCCAAAGGAAGGTTCAGATGATTGAGGTACGATCCCAATTCCTGCACTTTGTGAGAGCAGTCGTCGCCTCCCCCATGCAAGTATGTGGACGTCGGCCTCGTGCAGGCTTCTACTTGCCTTCGGGAGTTGCAAGTTGAGTAACGGATGATTGCTGGGGGTGGTCTCGGTCACCCTGATCGCCGCCGCGACAACTCGACCAACCACCGGCATTAATCGACTTAGGGGTTCCTCAGTTCTAGCGTCTCTTTGGTGATTAGCTGCTGAAACATAGTTAAAGCACTACTAAAAACAGTGCTGAAAACGCCGGCGTCCGCAGCAAATGCGGCAGTTTGACCCATGTTGTCTGTTTGCTAAAATTCCAGCATCTACTTGGGGGTTGCAGTGTCCTGATGTGTAATTCCGCCGCTGATGGGGTGATGTGCATTTCTCGCGACCTGATGTGATATAAGCTCGCCGCAAGTAGCTTCCTCGTGGCTGCTTCCGGCGTAGCCATCCGGTTGGTGGCGTTCATCCCCTTTTCGACAGGCTTGTGTCATCACAGAATTTTTGGTTGGAAATTCTGAAGGCCCCCCCCCTCCCCATCATCCCCCATTGTTGTGAAAACGCCTACAGTCTAAAGATCCCAAATGCCTCCGGTGGGGAAGCCTCCCGTTCCAAAGTGTCGGATAGTGCAACCTCGTGATCCCAGCGCAGATCAACCAAAATTCCTCGTTCTAAATGATCTGTTTTCACCTACTTGTGCTTCCGCGCGCCGCGCGTAAGCGCAAGTCCACCCAGATTCCTCGTTCTAAGTGGCGTTTTCACCTACTTGTGCTTCCGCGCGCCGCGCGTAAGCGCAAGTCCACCAAGATTCCTCGTTCTAAATGGTCCGTTTTCACCTACTTGTGCTTCCGCGCGCCGCGCGTAAGCGCAAGTCCGCCGAGATTCCTCGTTCTAAATGGTCCGTTTTCACCTACTTGTGCTTCCGCGCGTAAGCGCAAGTCCACCAAGATTCCTCGTTCTAAATGGTCCGTTTTCACCTACTTGTGCTTCCGCGCGCCGCGCGTAAGCGCAAGTCCACCAAGATTCCTCGTTCCAAATGGTCCGTTTTCACCTACTTGTGCTTCCGCGCGCTGCGCCTAAGCGCAAGTCAACCAAAATTCCTCACTGTAAAGAGTCTGTTTTCAGCCACTTGCCAACTCCTGAATCCGTACTCCAAAGCTCACTTGTGCTACCGCGCGCGGCGCGGAAGCGCAAGTGACCACATCCATGGCGCAAGTACAGGTTGCCATAGCGCGCTTGTGCTATGGATGGGGTCGCTTGTGCTACCGCGCGCGACGCGGAAGCGCAAGTGTGATTTGGAGTGCCGGTTCCCAAGTCGATGAAAATCCCATGCACTGTTGCACTGCTTTTAATAAACCACCCCCCACCCCCCTCCCCTCCGACCCTCTTTAAAGAAATTAGAAGCACCCCAATTTACGGGGAGCCATCCTCAAGCCTCAGACCCTTGAGGCCCACAGTGGCCATTCTGCTGTTGCCACAAGCTATTTCCACTTTTCGGTCCAGGAAAAGTTGATTTGGCTTGTCATTTTGATATAGTTCTAGTTCTGGAGTGTTGTTCTTGAGTGTTCAGAGCTCAGCAGCATGGTCAGTACTTCTGTGTTAACTCTGCTGTATTGCTGAGAGACCATGCTTTCACCCCTGGAAAACCACAGTGACCATTCTGCTGTTGCCACAAGCTATTTCTGCTTTTCGGTCCAGAAAAAGTTGATTTGGCTTGTCGTTTTGATGTAGTTCTACTTCTGGGGTGTTGTTCTTGAGTGTTCAGAGCTCAGCAACTCTTGCTGTGTTGCTTATTGAGTAACTGTCAAGGCTATGTGTTTTTCGTATGGTACCCCAGACGGTAGTTCAACTTTGGACTGACAGGGAAGTGGAATAACCTTATCAAAGCCACTAAGACAACGTCCAACGCCACCAAAATATTTGTGTTTTCCATGTGCCACCATCTTGAGCCCCCCCCCCCTTGCCTGCGCCACATGTAGTTTAAACTGTGATTTGCACAAGTTTCCCATGGTTTCCCAATTTGGAACGGGAGGCTTCCCCACCGGAGGCATTTGGGATCTCTATATACAGGGCCTACGTAAGTGGCCCAGGGCAATTTCTGTAGGCATTATCCGGGGTTAGTGGCAGTCACATGCCGACATGCTATGTTGGGCTGTAAAATGCCCAGGGCGGCTTGTGACGTCCAGCAGGTGTGCTTGGGCAGGTTGCATAACCGATCCTCAGCATTATTCCATTTTTCCGGAGCTGAAAAACGATCATTCCTGAATTGCGCCAACACGGGGGGGCGATGCGGAAAAGTCGACACTTGGCGTGACGTGGAAGCCGAGCTCTCGGCGTCGCCCCCTCATTCCAAGCGCGTCCCGCCAAGCGCCTTGGAGGGTAATTCTTAGGAGGGTCTTGAGGGGCATATTCGAGGGGCATATTCGGGGGCATATGGGTACCATGGCGACTGACACGACACGTCTCAAGGATGCAGTTCTAATCGAAGGTCAGGGCATGTGCGGCGAAGAGCAACTGGCGGATCTAGCTATAAAGATGTGCCCGACTATGCGACTTTGGGAATTGCCTGCTGGCATTGTGGTATGTCCGGGGTCTACTTGCAGCGCATGCTGCAGTTTTGGCGTGCTTGGCTTTCCTGACATCGGTGGGTTTGCCAAAGGGTAACGCATTGCAAGAACTTCAGTAGATGCTTTAAAATGCCATGGATATGCCTATAGCAGCTGGTGACGTAGCGGAAAATGCCCCGGCAGTTTCTGAACACGTAAGAAAATGCCTACGGCATTTTCCCAGGCACCCACACCGGAACAGATAGGGGATTCCCCATCCCCCACAGTAGTTAGATGCAAGAACAAAGAGGCACGCATCATGTGACAGGACGTATTCAGGACAGCAGGTGAGACAGCTGTCAGGCAGTGCAACACTCAGCACAGTGGAATCGGAACATTGCCTCAATAGGGAGGGCAGGGAAGCTTGTGTATGATAAGGCTGAGGCGTTCAAGCGGGTTAGGGATAGTACTGGAATGTACATCTTGCAATTGGGCTTTAGGGACAGGGTGGGGAGGTTCGAAATGGCCTCCCGCACAGCCAGATTGATGCTGCTGGCAAAGCCACGACTTTCATTGCCGGACCTCACATGACCAGGTGGCGTTGCTCCACGGGAATCGCGCGAGCCCTGGAATCTCTGATACCACCGATGCTTGGTGAGGGCCGATGGTTTCTATCGATTTGGCCTAGCGGCGCACTCTACTTTCCACACCCTATTTTCCACCCGATGGGGATGCCCGGACTGCAAGCTCGGCGAATGTACAAGGTACACGAATGCCCCCGAAGCGAAAATTGACCGCTACTGGCGCAGGCACCGAGTTCCTCATCTATGCCCTGGTGTGGTGGCCTTGGGGCTCTGGACAAGGGACATGAAATATATGTAGCCACGTATGCCAGTGAGGCATGAAGTGGAATGTTGCTTGTACCATCGTGCATCAACCACGTTTAGATTCGGCTAGAGTATAAGTCGCACCTCTTCCTGGAGCAGGGGAGTAAAGTTCTGGCGCCCTGCTTTGTTATCGTAGCGCGTCATCAACGGACTTGCAATGGGGACAGGCCAGATACAGGCAGTCAGTAGCACAAGGCTAAGTCTGCCACGTTCGAATGTGTCAGCCCCGTTGGCTTTCTGGTTCCAGAATCTCGCGTGGCCTTCCGGGCTCTCCTGTGAGGCCGCATGCCTGGGCACTGGATGCACTGGATGCACAAGCTGTTGCGGTCATGTCTTCCATTGCAGGGCTGGCGCATGAGTAGTAGGCGGAAGCATGGCCACGCGCACCTCGCTGCCGGCCAATCGCCGGACGGCGAAGGCCACTGTTGAAAATCACTGAATTTCCTGAGTGAGGGCCGCAGCGGCTGCTGTAGAGGCAAGGTAGTGCAGGGGCTGCCACCGTACAGAGCCACTCCGCAAACATGCAGAAGCCACTCGCAGCTGTTCTCCATGCAAGCTATCTTTGCTGGCCACAACGAGCTTAAAAGAAACAGAGCACGTTCAGGTTCCACTGCTGCACAGCCCATCTGGCCGCTGCCGTGCGACTAAGGCACAGCTTTTTAGTTTGGGCGTGAGGTGCCGGGCTGGACACTTCCGACAGCTAGTATCGGTGCTGGGGGTGGCATAAATGTTCAAGAGCACTCCCTTTTGTGTGCTTTAGCATGGGTCACCTTTGACTCTACTGGTGAAATGCTGAAACTTCGCATTCCCACTCCAAGGTTGCATGTAAATGGAGCTGATTTGGACTCTGACATATACTTCGTGTTTCTCAGGGACAGTCCCCGCCACCTGTGCAGCCCCGGCATGCGGCCTCCACATCGGACTTGCACCAGGCCTTTTCAGGGAACATGGATGCTAGTCAGGATCTAGTTCAGTTACTTGTAGCGGCTGGAAGAGGAGATGTCCTGCATGGGCTTATTCCGGGCTAACGTGAGGTGATCCCAGTAGAGTCTGAGGCCAACAGCCTCCAGGTGTGCAAAGATGGCTCGAGCTGTTATCACACAAGCTGGCAAATCCCTGATGTGGCTCTTGACTAGGCCTTGGCCGCCCTCCAGTTTTGGTCTTTGCCCTTGTGGACTTGTGTTTTAGCTACTTCGATGTGGTCATCGCCCCGACCGCCGTAACATGTGGTGTGGCCTTGGAGTCGGGGCACGGGTCCATCCGGTTGTTTTGCTTGCGTTCACATGGTTCTTGGTCGGCACTTGTTAACCCAGCTGAAAGTTCTTCGAGTTTCAACTCACGCACTGCCGGAGGTGCGGCGGTGCACTGCGGCGCCCCGACCGGTGGACGCGCGGCTTCCAGGCCTGCAAGGATTGAACGCCGGGTTTGGCGGTTTTTTTTGGGGATGGCTTCGGCCGCACAGTAAAAGGACCACTCCCCCCGACCCTCCATTTCTGATGTTGGATCAAACCGAAGAACGCTGGTTTTTTTGTTGAAAGAACTCTCTCAGAAGCTCTGCTCTCTCACGCAGGTCGGCCTGTGTCCCCAGCCGTGGCTGTGCGCGTCTCTTCCCCACGCCGGCCTGGTGCCAGCAGCGGCAGCCCCACGTCACCCTGGCAAAAGTGGAAGGGTTGGCTGACCGTCTCTCTTAGTCGAGAACGTCGGGAAGCCTTCGATGTCGCTGTTGCCTTAGCCCTAAGGCCTTAAGATTAAACTCACGCCCTTGACAATGCTTTTGCACAATGCATAAGTACGATTAGTACGGGCCCTGCACTTGCGTGTCATAAAAGGGACCTTTCAGCTTCCATCTGACGAAGACGTATGCTAAGACAGAGGCACTCTGCAGGTGGCATGTTCTGGCTCAGAGCGCCCCGAAGCCTGTTCCCCTTGGAGGCTCTCCAGGCTTCCTTGGCGGCCTGGCCTTAGCTCAGGGGGCTCCCCACCGCGGCAGGCCTGTGGCTTTCTAATAGGCCGCAGCTGAGCAGAGCCGACTCTTGATGGCAGGATGGCATTCCATCTCAAGAGCGGGTGAATAGAAGAGAGATGCCCCTTTCAAAACTATAGAAATAGGAGAAATTCCGCTACGTCTTCCCTGCTCTGCCTCCAAAACGCTCGGTGACGGAATAGGCGCGTGCCGCATCGGGCACGCCGGCGACAAGGTCGGCTGCCAGGACGGCTGGTACTGTGCAGGGTTCTGGGCCAGGGCAGCCAGGGATGTGTCTGTGAACGCGTTGGAAGATCCATGAGCTTGATGTGACGGCTCAGAATTCCGTTTTTGGAGTTCAAGCTTAGTGCACTTTTTCATGGCTTCGCTGTAGGTAGGATTTCCATCCTGACGTCTACCCGGCTCATATCCAAGAGCGTCCTCACGGAGAGCGAGCAGCAAGCTTAAGCTTCCAAGCTCAAAGTCTTCCGCTCAAGGGCACGAGCTCGAAATCCAGTGAGGAGCATTTCGCCGAAGATGAGCGGGAACGCACCCTGGCTTTGACTCGTCCTCCATGCGACCCAGGGCCTCGTTTTGGACTTTTCCCCTACTAACCCCTGTCGCAAAGCCGCAAGGTGAACCCCCTTCCGCCTCCCCGGGGTTGCAAGATTTTAAGTCAACTCTCGCCCAGTGTCCAGCCCGGTTCTCCTGGCCGGGTCCCCCTGGAGTGCCCACCCCCGAGAATCCAAAGCCCACAGAAGTCCGCAGAGAGTCCCGCCGTGTACCTCCAGAGAATTCAGGCGCCTCTGGCGAAGTATCCAACAATTGCAGGTCCGAATGCGTCAGAATGCCTCCCACATCGGGTAGTGAATACCTTCAGCAACCAAAACCCAAGAAAAAGAAGGTTCTACTTTAAAACCAGGTTCTGGAAACCAAAACCGGGCGTTGTAGGGACAAATGGAAGCCGACGGTTTTAAAATGGTTTTCGACGGTTTTTGACGGGTTTTCCACATTTTGAAAGAATCCGGTTCTGTTAGTCAAAACCAGGTTTTTGACAAAATCTTCCGGAAAACTCGGTTTGGGGTTCCACTTTTATCAGGGTTTTGGGCGCCCAAGGTAACTTGCAAGGAAATTTGAGGGGGAGACTGTGACAGAACTGTCCAGAGAAGATTCAGCATTTCTCAGCAAAGGGTCCCTCCCCGACGGCGAGCCGCGTCCGCGACACCACGCCGCGGCGGCCGCAGCGGGAGCAGGCCAATGCAGTGAGGGCCTCCTGTGGTGGAACGGTTAGGTTAGGCCTTGGCTTCGGCTGTTATCCTTCAACCGTGCATGGGTCCCGTTACAGAAAGGTTATAGAAGTCGGGAAAACAAAAAGGGGTCAAGACAGGGTGCTCAGTGCACGGGTGCCCATCGAACTGTTAGGTTTACTGGACATATTCCGGGTGGCTCGCTTTGCGGTTCGGCGTCTCATGCAGAGTTGCAGCTCTGGCAATTTTCTGTCAGCTTGCCCGCAACAGGAAAGACAGAGCTAGCAAGAGTCACATGTCACATGCCGGCGAACCTGGAAGGCCTGTAACTGTATCTAAGGCACTGTTATTTGGCACATGAATTATGGGCATCCTCAGATAAGTATGGTATCCTCAGGAAAAGCGCGTATGCCCTTAACCCGAAAGCGCAATCCCGGCATGTCCAATATCCGCAACATCGTTTGACCACACAGGGCTATCAGTTCCTCCACGTCGAGCCGCCGCCACATGACAGGAACAACTTTAGCGATGCATGCCGCGTGCATCCGCAAGAGTATTTCCGACTTTGGATTTTGCAGAGGCTCGGTAGGTGCTGCTGTAAGAAAGTGCTGGGCGTGGCAAGCTATAGAACTCAACTCCATCGAATTTGCGAAAATTGCTGCTACCAGCATCGATAGGTCCGATCCGCAGTCTTGGAAGATGTACACACAGCAGTCTGCCTGAGCTCAGGTGGCCTCCCAGTGCCCCCGTGGAGTCTGGTCCGCTCTGCGAGCTCGAGAAGCCGCCGCGTGGCCTTGGAGAGCTGCCAACTACCAGAGCAAATCTACAGCACCATACTTGGCTTCTGATTTCTTGCCTAGAAAGGAGATGTTTTAGATTGGCAGGTTGCACGGCCATGCCTCCATGATCTCCGTGACTGTTGCCGCTCCCACACCAAGTGGCATTCCATGGTACGTACTCAAGTGTCAAAGACACAGCCAAGGAAGTGGTCGCAAAATGTCCATGTACCGCAGCGACATAGCGAGAGTTTTACGCAACTGCAGCTCGGCGAGCAGCTCTTCGGGACGTCAGAGCCCAAGTCGCGTGTGAGGGGGGACCCTTCGCATGGCCGGCAGGCGCAGCTCTCGGCCAAGCTGGTCCCGAGATTTCCGCGAACCCACGCTGCCCACCAAGGCGCCGAGTGCCCCTCGGAGCCGAGAATGGCCAGGAAGGTCGAAGTATCCTTAAGCTCTCATCATACTTCTTGTCGATGATATTCGGAGCAGCTGTAGTGCACCCATGTGGCAGCAGTAGTCATGTTCATATCGTGTTGCCATTGTACTACGGGGCCTAGAATCAGACGTAGTAGAATATGTGGGCCAGAGCATGATTTGCGGAGTGCATAGGAGCTTTACAGGGATATACAGGGCATGCTGCAAGATTCAGGGCAATCACCACACCGACTGCCCAAACCCCTGTTGGAATTTTCGGTCTGCTCCTACAGTCACATGCCCCAGAGCCTTAACATGGTTTATTGTTGGGAGGGTAATTTGTTTTAGTCGAGGGAAAAATGCTGTCCCTGCTAGCCCTTGTCAGTTGAGTCAGCCGAGGGAGTGCCACGCGAGATAGGCTGGATGGGAGCAGCCTGGAGTTGTCAAGATTTATGAGAGAGAGAGACGGCAGGGCATTTTTTCCATGTCAGGATGTGCTTCTGTAGTTTTCCGTCATGTCGTCGAGAATTTGCTGCTTGCAAGCCTACACCACTACATCCACTACACCAGCCGGACATGCCCCGCATCCTCGCACTTAATAGGCCCTGCGGCTGCAAAGAAGTGAGCCCGCTGCTTTCCGACGTTTTCCGCAGGCTGTCGCGACGCCGTGCGCACGGCTGCAGCGCTGATCTTACAGCGCTTCTGGCGACAACGAAGGCCGGAGAACAGACTTCAAAAAGGGCCAAGAAAGATGAGCATTCGGCACTTTAAGGCTGAGGGGCTGTTCCAGCGGTTGAGGATTCATGGTGCTGTCTGTCGGATGTGGTTAGAGCCGTTAGGGCGTGCAGCAGTTTTGGGGGCAACTCCAAGCTCGGTGTGGACGAGTGTGGACATGCCCATGTGACGCGGGCATTAGGGTTACAGCGTCACAAGGCGGATGCACAACGGCTACCAACTGTATTGTTCATGAATTTCCTGATTGCAGTCTGCTTGGGTTGCATAACCATGCCATGCTGTGATGGGCACCATTGGGCACCACAAACTCCTGAAAGCCTTTTGTCTCGTCTTTGAGGCGGCCCAAGCTGCGCAAGCCAGCGAGGGCGCATCACAGGAGGCGTCCGTGCCCGACGAGTGGTTGCTTGTGGGTTTCTTAAACTTTGTTGAAAGGCTTTAAAAGGCTCGAAAAGGGCCCGCATCCCTGGTATGAAGCAGAGAAGCGCAATCCCTGCATTCAGGATTGCTGAATGGGGTGGGGGGGAAGGGGGGTTCGTTTGTATGCCATTCTGCACGCGTTAAGTCTTCTGTCGTGACCACACAGAAGCTCCTTTACAGGTCTGGTTCTACCCGAGAAGCAACAGCATCAGCTCAGGTGTGCCAGCAATCTTCTCTTCCCAAAGCGACGCCCAGCTGTTTTTAGGTTGATGTTGAGTTTTGGACGGTAGTTTGGTCATGAGAATCTTCAAAATTAAAGTTGTTTTTTCAGGACCAGGCGTCTACGTTCACTTCGCGGCCTTGCGTATTCAGCGCGCCTGGCGCATCTCGCGATGGCGTCGGGCCTTCGCGCTTTACGCAGAGCACCAGGCTGCTGCAAAGGAACTGGAGGGTTTGAATCCTGGAACGCTTCTTCGCGGGGTTCAACGGCGTGTTCGTGTCCAGCATTAGCGAGCGCAATACTACTGCGACTTGTAATCTCAGCTCAACGCCTGGTCAATGAAGCATGGAAATTGTCGAGGCCGGATGGGTCGGGAGCCTCGATTGGCTGCACCAGCACCTTGGCTGGCTGTTGGTTGAGCTGAATACCTGTCCAGAAGCAACGAAATTGCAACCTATAGTATGCACCGGCCCTTTACACAGTTCCAAGTCAAGGAACAATATGATTTACGGGACCGAGTTGGCAGAGAAGGAGCGGGAACAAGTTTTTTGTTTTTTTTTGGGGGGGAGGGGGCCTTCAATGCACTTGCTTTTCTTTTTGCGGGGTTGTCTTCCAGGAGGTCAGTTTGTTTTAATTGGCATTTGCATTGATGTCTCTTCACTTGCGGGTTTAGGCTGGACTGCAACGAGGCTGTGTTTAGGATATGCTCGGCAAAGCCGAAACTGGGGCACAGCTCTCGGCATGACCTAGAACCCTGCCTATATCTACTCATGAACCTCCAAGCACCCGGGCACCCACAAAGCGTTGCCTTCACAGGGCTGGAAGGGATTGGTCACTGCTGTCGGGTCCAAGCTTGTCTCGACATCTTCTGGTGGCTACAACCATGGGCATGCGCCTTGCAGCTTGCCACGCCTCAAAGGCTCGGGCAAAATGCCTGCGCAATGAAATGCTGGAGACGCTGGGGCCGCTAGCAGCTAGCAACAGTGCACTTCTGAAATCTTCTGAAGCCCCCGCATCAAAGCACGAGAAGCCGAACGAGCAGGCCGCTGAATCGCATTGCACGCAACACTCCAAAAGAAACTCAGCAGACGATCCTGGACGATGCCCGAAGAATGATGCTTAAGACGTAATATTGCACCTGGTTTTGTGGGGGCCTCCTCTATAAAGTCAATTTGGCCGAGTTATTCAGGACACTCTGACTGTTTGGGGGTCCCTCTTTACAGTCAAATCGTCCGGGCGCTGTAAGAAAATTCCACGCGGCACGCCTTCAAAAAAGATTGCCGGGCGTCGCTGCCCCTTTTAAACTTATCTAAACTCCTCCCTATTAAAATATATATAAACCCCCGGGGCCGTCTAAAAAGGAGCAAATCCAGCCTCGACTGTTCAGGGGGGGGCACAACATTAAAGAGGGTGCAACATTATAGGTTAACCCTTTGCCCAAAGAACTCCCTATCGTGACTTTCCGGCCAGGAGGACGAGGAGGAGTGGTGCCATGAGAAGTTCGTTGCCGCGCCAGACGCGGAGGTGGACCCATGGGGCAACAACCAGCAGCTCGGAATACATTTAAAACAAAATCTATAAACATGCTTAATATCTAAAGAGTAATGATGTGATGCATTGACATGGTTCGCAGTTTGCAACTGAGAGATGCGTGGAGGCTGAACCCAGGAAAAGTAGACCGTCTTGTGACTGTTCAGTCCTGGAGCACGAGCAGGAAGGTCTCGAGCAGGCCAACATTTCTGCAAGCCAAGGCTCCGGCAGCACCTTCAAAAGACGTGGCGCCTTGCCCAAATGCTTAGGCTCATCTGTTGAAACCACAGACCCTGGAACGTGCAAGCCACGTTCCCACAATTCCGCACAAACTCATCCTGAATTTGCTGCAAGACTGCCGCGAGCTTCATGCGGTGGACACAGAGCCGAGAGCAGCAGCGGCTTGCTTAGGAATTCAAGCAGCAACCCCAAGATAGTCGCTTAGATCCATCGAGTGAACATCGTGAGCCTACGGTGTGGCAAACGGTGTCGCCCCTCCACGATGATCTAAGGGACCGCGACAGTGGCTCCAAGGAGGCAAAGCCTTCGGAGATGAAGCCGCACCGTGGAGAAAACAAAGAATTGAGACTAAAGACGAAGAGGGAAGGATGGGAAAGGCAACGAAGTAGCGAAGCTGTGTCCATTTACTATAGGTCTTGGGGGCTGCATCAGATGAATTTTGTGTGATGTTGGATGTCACTTGATGCTTGCCTGATGCTTGACGGACACAGGACATGTGCTTCTCCTCATGGGCCAAAATCTCACAGTCGGTTCTAACACCCGCACTCTGCTGTGGGGCTTGCACTTAGAAATAAAGAGGTGTAGCGTCAGCTTCTTGAAACCCTGAAACCTTTGCTTCGAATGGTCAAAGGAAAGCGCACATCGTGGCTGGCGTCCATGTCTCACCGTCGTCTGGACAGTACAGACAGCTGGCGCAGCCTTCTCAGCGCCTTGCCATCATAACAGTTTCGGGGATTGCGAGACAAGAAAGAGGTACAGCTGGACAGTGCTTGTTCTGAGTCGGCAATGGCCAAGACGGGCAAGCGCCACAATACAAGACCCAAACAACCCTGAGCCCTACAACCAAAACAACCCCCACCACAACCCCCCAGACCCCAAGTCAGATGCACGGGCTTCACAGGCCTCCGCATTTGAAACGGCCGGTTGGCGCCAGGAGCCGAAGCCCTGAGGCGCGCGATCTAAAGATGAGCCTTTCCGAGGGAACATACACTAAGAGCCCCGGATTTCGCGCGCCACGCAGTGGTTTCTTACTGCATTCGAGACTTAGAGTGGACTGGGCCAGCTATGCGGGAGTCAACAAGGAACAACGTACCTTAGTAGCACGTTGTTTTGCGCTACCTTCACGTTCTCATTTCCCATCCCACCCACAGTGGTGTCGAGCGTCATGCTTTGTTTGGCGCCCGCCAAAGGAACCTTTCAAAAGTAAGAGCAGCCGAGCCAAGCTTCATTCTGTCTGCCAGGAGCGTGGGGTTGCAGGGGCACTCGAGCGTGACCTGGAAGGCCTATCTTGTTGCAGCGTGTTTTCGCGGGCTGGAACTTGTGCTGCAGTGGCTTGGCAGGTTCAGTGGCTCAGCTGCCTCCACACCTGCAGAAGCCTATCAGCAACAACGGCAACAAGTCCCCCACGGAGGCAACCAGAACATGGGGGCTGTACGATGCTGTAGGTGGTTTGGGGGTTGCGGTCCGTTCGCAGAATCTCAGAACTACCTCACGAAATGTCCAGTGTAGAGATCGGCGCCAGGAATGTTATTGTTGCAGCATCAGGGGCTCTGACTGTCATTCTGCCGAGATTGGCGTGTGAAGATTGGGCTTCCGCAGCGCTGCAGCGCTCCATAGCAATTCGGCCAGCTGCGCAGGTGCCGAGAAAGGAATCACAGCAAGCGGAGGCAAAGCTCAAGACGGTGAGCCCAACTGCAGCTGCACCCGGCCTGCAAGAATCCTACATTTTCCAGAAGAGTGTATCAGCACTAATGGGTTCCAACGAGCAGGATAAGGCTAAGGGCTAGAGTCCGGCAACACCACGCGGTGCGCACGGGCGGCGTCCGCAGCACATGGGCCCTGTTTTGCTCAAGGCCTGCTCTCATGTTGGACGGAAATCGATTAATTGCCTAGGCCAGGGCCACGTTCGCCGTCCTCGAAACTGTCTCATCGCTTCGTCGCTTTTGGACCTCTGTGCTCTTTGTGCTCTTGCGAAATGTGCGAAATGTGAAGCTGTCGTCGCTTCTGGACGTCCGGGCTCGCGAAGTGCGAAACTGTGAAACTGTCGCGGCTTTTGGACTTCTGGGCTCTTGATGTCTTTTGGACGTGCTCTTGATCCATTTCATGCTGTTGTGTGTCCACATGGTCTCTCACTGTTTCGGGTCTGCACTGGCATCATTTGATTGTTCCATCGTACATGGTCAGCGCCAGCGAACCATAGTTAGCGTGATCACTGCGGACCGTAAGGCAGTGGCAGCTGGGGCACAAAGGCTTTCCTCGACGTCCGAGCGCTTCGTTGCAGGAATTCCGGCATCGCGGCGGTTGTCCTTCACACAATCTTCACAGGTGCCCGTGATAAATCTGAGATAGGTCAAGCCATGCCAAGCCTGTAGATGTGTTAACAAATTTGTGGGCGAGAAATCTGGCAGCCGGGCAACTAAGTTGATTCACACAATGCCCCCGCCTTCCATCGCCACAGCTGCTGCGCTCCTCTCCCCGCGCTGCGAGCAGCGCGGCCTGGTGGAAGCCTTGCCTGTTGGCAAGGCCCCTGCGCCCAGTGCTTGGTTCGGAGGGCTCTGCGCGTCGGGTGCCCCTCCGCACTCACCGAAGAGCCCGGTGACACTACCCAAGTCGCCACCAACTACCACGGGCCCGGGACTGCCAGCGGCGGTGAACAGGTCACCCTCCGCCTCCCATAGGACCCCGCGCTGTGCATGAATTTTGTTGCTTGGCCTGTCACCTGAAGTATCCTGTAATTTTGCTAGAGTCTAGACCCGTCGCATCGGTCAGGACAGTCCATGCCGTTCCGGTGACCCACGCCTTGGCCTCACTTCCTCTTAGACCGCGACCCGTGTCTCCAGCGCCGATGCCGGCCGTGCAGGCTTGGCTCCCGGTGCGCTCGCGGCTGTCTTGCAGAACCTCAAGCTGGAATTTGGAATTAGCTTTGCCATGCTCGTGCTCTGCGGTAGTTGGGGATGTTAGTATAACCCCTATGCGGTAAAGACACAAACCTGCTTCTTGCAGGGGCACCAACTTCTGAGCCCGCGAGTCCCAGGAAGCCTCCACGCCTCATCAAGCTTTGCGGCATCGAATGCCTTCGTGGTCGTCTCACAAAATTAGGCACGCGTGTGGCCTGCTTGGGGTGGGTTAAACTTTGGGGGCCACTACGATGGCCACGATATGTTTCCTGGGCTGAAGTTCAAGGTGGCGGCGGTCACCATGGGCTCCCGGTGTTGAATCAATTGTTTGGCTCAGGTTTGCTTCCTTGTTGCGCTTCAGTCAGGGAAGAAACGCATCTCGGAGTTGCTTGGGCCATTGGAACTTGAACTCCGTGCAAAGCTTTGCAAGCCCTATCAGACATAGCTTCGGCAGAGTTTAGGGATTGGCATAGGGTTTTGTTTTCACGGCTTTGGCTGAGCCGGTGCGTCCTGTGCCGCCCTTGCCTTGCCATGCGAGGCTTTTGAGCCGCGAGCCGAGAGGCCGACACAGCACCCGCACGTGCAAGTGCAAGCCCTGTGCTTGAAAGAAACTGCGGTTTCAGCATATGGTTCAGCCGTAGAGCAGAAGAAGGCGCGCAACTCCAGAGAGAGCTTCAAGCACAGGGCACTTTGAGCAACTGGAGCCACAGACTCTCGAATCGAAGTTAAAGAACTTCAGGTGTTCTTAGCCATGTGCCAACAGTGCCTAGCAGGTTTGGACGTGTACGAGTGGGAAGACCATAAGCCATAAGCCTTATCTTCGCCACAGATGCATGAGGCATGGCTGGCACAGCGGGCAGTATGCAAACAAGCGGTGGCCCGTCCCTCCGAAGGCAAGAATCTCGAAATGCGAAAGCTTTGAATGAAGCAGTGGGCAGCAGCATCTGTGTTAAAGGGCCGGGGCACGATTTCGCGAGTTCAGAGTGCCCTGCACATTTATTTGTCAATTTTGCCCTTGCAGAGGGACTGGTCGAGCGACCGGTCATGGGAGCGTGTTTCAAAGTGTTTCTTGGCCGGAGGATAGACGTTCCGGAGAAAAAGGCGTTGTGGCAGCAGCTTCGCTTTGCCTGAGCCGGGGGGGGGGGGGGGGGGGGGGATGGCTTAATTAAGCTCCTTTGAAGGAACTTTGAGGGAGCTTCATGTAAAGGGGGTTGATTTGCCCAACAGATTGTAATCTTGTACATGCTTTTAAGATCAACTCGTCGTGGTGCCAGAAGGGTTGCGCCACAGGTCATCCAGTTTGTTGTGGTCAGTCCGCATGAAGAGTTGACAGCATGCCCACCCGGCTCTGCCTCATAATTCATGAACCAAAGGTTCGTGCTTTGAAACTTCTAGAGTGAGCTGTGGCAAAGAGCTCCAAAGGCACACTGCCTATGGCTCGGAAGCAGCGAGAAATCCCAAACCGGCAATGGGGCCCGATTCCGAACCTTTGCGTCGCCGTGATTTTGTTGTTTTGTGGCTTTTGGTCAGAGCTCTGGCGCAGCTTCACGGAATGACCGGCCTGACACAGGCACGGTGTGGATGAAGCTTTTAGACTTGTACTCCATTTGACAAAGATAGAAACAGAATGATATGTATGGGATCCCAAATCTTCGTCCCTAAATCCGAGGGAGGGCCCCTAAATGCTGAAAAAAACAAAGCTTGTCGCTGATTCCTAAAGATTAAAGAGCGGTATCCCTGAATCTTATTCCCTTAATCCTGTTCTGTAAGCCCTAAAGAGGGGCTGATGAGAGCCCCTGCATCCTAGAAACAACTCCTATTTCTTCATTCCTTTCCGCTAAACCCTACTAAGTCTTCTTCCCCAAATCGTTTCCCTTTGTAAGCCCAAACAGTATTGCGTAAACCATGGGACGGGTGGTCCTTAATTCCTATAAGGCATAACACCCTATTCCCGAAACCCCTTTCGCAAAATCCTAAGCGGGATTCCGAAATCGAAGTCCCATTCCCTAAGCCCTAAAGAGGGGGGTTAAAAACCTAAAGACATGAGCCCCAGGAGAGAAACTAACTGTATTCCGTAAATCTTGTCGCTAAATCCTAAAGAGCGGGATCCCTAAATCTTATTCCTGAATGTTACTCGTTAAGTCCAGCCCTACTACGAAATGACAGCCGAGGGAAATGAAAGATGTTGAAGGACAGCTCTTGTGACAACCTATGGGCCCAATGAGCCTCGGTGCTTTTGAACCCATTTGCGAAGGCCATTGGCTTCTGTATTTAACTTGTGTTAATGTGGTTTCAAAAACGACGGCCGGTTAATGGTTTGAGAATTGTTTGAGTACTTTCCTCCAACTACAATCGAATTCATGAAGTGGTTCGCAATCTAAATAAGGGGAGAGGAACCAACATAATAGTCCAAAGCATCAATCTAAATTCGTTTCGTCTTTTTTGCAAATACTGTTTTAGTTAGGGACAAATTATTCTTAACCAGTTGTCTTGCAAGAAATAGCCCCAAAGTGCAACAAATCTCTAGACGATTAAGTTGAAGCAAATTATGAATCTCCGTTTGAGCCACGAGTCTTCTTCAGATAGCTGACCCGTGGTAATGTAGATTTGTGTCCGCTGCAACCTTGAATACCAATCCGGAAGTTGATTTTGTGCGTAACAACGCAATACTCTCAGATTATTTTAGCTAGGGCCATTCACAGACTGTATGTTCAGAGGTTATATTTGTGTCCGGATCAGCGATATCCAAAAGATGATTTGGGGCGTAACAACACAAGACTTTCACATTGTTTAAGCTAGGGCCATTCAGATAGCGCATTTCAGAGAGTTGAAGCCGAAAACGGTGGATCAATGGGGCGGCAGCATATATGTATCTAGATATGTATGTATATTCATGATGTCATGAGGTAAGTATGGAAGGGCTTGCAAGAGCATTAAAACGGCCAAGCTGCCTTGCAAAGCCTTGCCACACCGTCTGCAGCGTCCGAACCACAGCCTGAGTTGCTGCTCTCTGCCCCTCGTAGGCGGCTGATTGCAGAGGTGCCCCTGAGGTTGCTCTTGGGGCAGAGAGGCAGGGGTGCTCATGTTCACGCCTGGAGGGCCCGACAGGCTCCGTAGGGACGCTGTGCTCGCGAAGCAGTGCGCAAGGTGCGAAGTAGGTGTTACCACTGGAGCCAGAGTGTTGCGTCTTGGGATTCGGGGATTGTTTCAAAGGCCGACCTTCTTGCTTGGAAGGCCTGTCACGCTGCAGAGTTAACATAGAATAATAGAGACCTATATACAAAATACACAATACATAATTAATGCGGTTTGTTATTATATGTGTGTATGCCCAACCTGCATTCTTGCACTTGCAGCAAAACCTCTGCGTGCAGGATCACTCCAGTATTCTTACAGCTTTGGCGTTCTCATAGGGCTTTTAAGGGGCTTGAGAAAGTTGTTCCACATGAGCTCCTCTGCAAAAAGAAGTGGGGCTGATGACACATCGCCCCTTCTTTTGGGCAACTTAAGGGCCGATCCAGCTTAGCTCAGCTTATGCCCAGAGACGACGAGAGCCCAAAAACCAAGAAAAAGTCCCGCCGACGCCATCTCGCAAATTAGAGCTCAGGCAATACTTGTACGGTATATAGCCGTTTGGGCTACCAGCAGCTCTGAGTTGGGATTCAAGGCTGGTATTCACAAAATCCGCTGCGAGACTGCCTCATGCCCTGTTCAGAAATCGTCACGGCATCCTGCGCCGGGCTTAGTGGAACCGTCTTCCGAGGCTGGGCTTCAGATTGAGGAAGTTCGACCCCTCGACTGCGAGGGTCTTGTAGCGGGCCTCAGCATCCTTCTGGCTTCGCTTCGTAAAAGAAGTTTAGTGCACACAGTGCTTTCACAGAGCCACTCTTCAGCGTCCGGGGCTTCCTAAGCTGCTGGGGTTCTCTGTGGAGCTACGCGGCGTAAAATGCCTGTCTCGTCAACAAAAGGAGGGCAAAGCCGCAACTGGTCGATGCCTCAAGCACCCACTCCTAAACTTCATCGCACATTCAGTACATCCCTACAGCAAAATATGACCAGAGATGCATTTTGAAGCGATCTAGTCTAAGGTACAACTCGAGATAGTCCGAACCCCCCCAACGCCCACTGCAGCAGCTTCCGAAAGCCAGGCTTGTGGGCAAAGAGGTGCCGGATGCTAAGATTCTGCACTTGCAGGTTGCGTTCAGATACGAAGCAGCATGCACCCTCCCCTTGAACAAAATAGATCCCAAACCCTGCCTACTCGCACCTGCTGCAGTACCTGGGTTCCGCTGATAGAGACGCTGTCCGCAACATCAACATTGTTATGGCGCCCAAAATCCCCTTTATGGATTTAGACTTTTCAGGGTTGGGTTTATTGGGGTTCTGGGGTGTATGTCGCGGTGCGATCCTGCGATTAGAAATTCAGCCGGCCTGTAGATTCCAGACCCCAATTCAAGAACTAACTCAAGTCTACATACTTGTGCGAGGCAGACGACCCAGAAGTATCTCAAAAGCATACCGTAATTTGTGGCCAAAAGTGCGCATGTTTGAGACTCTCCACAAGGCCAGATCAAACAGCACCCTTCCTCGAGGGCTCCCGCCTCAGAGGAATGGGGACAGGACTTGTGTTGGCCAGGTCGAGTTGCCGGAATTGGGGCTTCAACATCTAGGTGCATCGCCAGATTTGCCTGGCTCGATCAATCCAGGCCACGCAAGGATATCAACAGTACAGCTTTGGCTCGACACTGTCCGCAAAGCGGACAATGCTCATTCAATCTGTGTTGAATTGGGCGCGGTTCTCACAATCGGTTCGCAAGTCTTGGGTGGCAGCCAAGTTCCTTGGGACTTTGGGACCTCGAAGCCTCGTGTAAAGCCCCCATAAGCTGCGTTTTTGTTTCGATGGCCCGAGTGGCCAGACATGTTCCAGTTTGGTGGTCCGCAGGTACACCCGTGTCGGTCAGAGTGCAAGTTGTTGCATTGACATGAACTGTGGCCTTTCGACCCGATTCTTGAACCGGGAGGCCAGGGCGCGGAGAAGATGTCAAACAACTTAGCAAACTGGTAGAAAGCTTGTGGTGGCAGAACCGACACCCTTCATGCTCAATGAGGCGACGACAGGAAGTGCCTAGAGGCACTTTGGCAGGCCGGAATGGGAGTGCCCAACATGTACTCAGGGCTGCTAGCAGAACTTGGAGTCGAAAA